GGATCATCTCAGAGATTTTGGGAGCCATGTGCGAAATTTGTAAAATGGACCCTCCTTAAGATAGTTTTAAGTATTAATAAAAGTATGACAATATATTGATACTAGAAAACATTCACTTAAATCAAAACAAAATCACTTAGTACTACGGTATAGTGGTATTCCTCTTCACTTGGAAGTGAGAGGTCTTAGGTTTAATTATCGTCAAATGCGAATTTGAACCACATTATTATTAGCCTATTGTGAGGCTTAACCCACTCCCCCACCTCCTTAGTGTATATAATATTCGTTTGTTAAAAAAAAAAAAAACTTAAGCACTCACTGATTGCATGTTTACAAGTGTCATTAATGATAAGCAAACAAATCTACAAACATATGGCTCGTTTGGATGTGCTTTTAAAATGGCTGAAAGCGCTTTTAGATAAAGTGTTTATGGGTTTGAAAAGCACTTTAAGTGCTTTCTGCAAGAAACATCAGTTATGCGCTTCTTCCAGGAAGCACTTTAAATGTTTTTTATGGATTTATTTGCATTTTTACTGATAATTGGTTTCAAAAACATTTTCACCAAAAACTCTTTCAGTCATTTGAAAAACACATCCAAACGAGCTCATAACCTTCACTAAATAATCAAAAGCAGTTTTATCTTAAACAATCAACACATTAAAAAAAACTTCAAACATCTAACTTTAAAGTTCTACTTGAATATATAACGTTGTTATATAATAAAATTAAGAAACTTTCGTTTTTAAGGGTGTTATTAGACACTCAAAATATCTCATTGTACTCCAAGTTTTTATATTTAGAAAGAAAAAAAATCTTTAATAAGGAGTGCACAATGCGGTTTTAAAGTGCTAACAAAAGTAATTTTTTAAAATATAGAACATTGTTACATGATGTTAGATGGCAAAAATTTATGGATCCCTTCAAATTTGGTGCCCCGTGCGATTGCACATTTCGCTCCGCCTCAACGCCCTTTCTAATACTATGTCGTCCACTCTTATTATACTACACGAGAATTTAGTCCTCAATTACCAAATTTATATAGAATTTTATTTTAAAGCAATGCTCAAAACAATGACTGCAAACAATCACACAGTGTGCCAATTGGATTGTAGGAGTGAATATTCAAATGGATCCCATCGTTAAATCTTCATCGTAGATGAAATTTTTCAGTATGTCAGAATTACGGTGTGGTACAACAAGTGTCATAATACAATTAGTTATATTTTTTTCTTCTTTAAGTTTCCAATTAATTGTACACTTAATATACGAAACTATGTTTTCAACCTGATGAAAAATCTCTCTTATTGCAGGCCGCATAGGTGGTCGGTACATAGTCCGCATCACTGTGCCGTTGAACCCCCCAACCCCAAGCAGCAAATGTGGAAGTGTCACTATGTGTTTATTGTCAAGTGTTACTTTTAAATTTTCAAATCAGAAAAGCATAGTTGAGGTGGTTGAGGGGACACAAAACCCATACACTCACTTTCCAATCCCCTATGTTATGCCAATGAAATCCCATATTAAGAGCCTTTTTTTTTTTTTTTTTTTTTTTTAAGAAATAGAGCTTTTTTAAATATTTATTGGTAATATTAAAAATGTTAATTAATAAAATATACTAGTTTTTTTTTTGTCAAATAAAAAAAATATTAATTAAGTAAACTAAAACAGTTTGTTTCGATATTTTAAACTATTGTAATGTAAAATATGTATATTAGCGCTTGTATCAAAATACTAACAATACCTTTTTTGTCAGCAATTAAACTTTATGTTTTAAGTTGTGATTAGAAAGCTTTAATTAGTTAATATTATTAATAAATTTTATCTAAAAAGGAGAGGAAAAATGATAATATCTTAGTCGACCTTCAATTTCATGTTGATTCTTTAAAGGGAACAGAAACATTATCAAAGGGCCAAGGCAACAACTTTTTCTTCCTTTTCGAAATCCTTTATCTTATCACATCCTATTTTTCTCCAAAAATTATCCTCGCAGTACTATAACACCCATATCAGATATAACCATCCAGCTCACATACAACTTTAATGGGTGAACAGCCCAACCCCTGGAGGTACTACAAGCCTCAAGTGGCGAATAGCCGACATCAAGGTGCCAAACCTTTCCGTCACTCCGTCCATCCAAGGGCTTTTTTTTTTTTTTTTCTTTTTTGGGTGAACTCTAAAGGCTTGTTTGGCTGCATGCAAAACCTCAAAGAACCACCCTAATTCCTACATGATTAACTTGACGCTTGGCAGGACTAATTGGTTAATCCTACATATGGTGCAAGTCGGCAATGGCTTTTGGGCAGGTTGGTGAAAGTGAAAGTAAAAGATTTATACTGCCTAAACAATATCATGATATGGAGTTTAATTTTGTGCCTAATTAGTAAAACCAAGACTTGACATGTCTCTTACTTGGCTTGGGAAAATGTCTAATTAGACCTAACTATGCTTATTCCATTCATTGAAACTTCTCGTACCAGACAAGACGAGAACATAAAATCAGATGTTATGTTGTTTGAGCTATTATATAAGTAGTAGTTTACACATTTTACGAACTACTGACGTGAGTTAGATACAAAAAAAATCATATAAGATGATATTTCGTTGAATGATCATTATCATGAAAATAATAACTTATATAACTTGAATAAAGATGAACACAAGTTTAATGTTGTTTGCAGTGTTTTTCAGGAAATTCAAGTTCTTTCATATTCTTTATTTATCATGTGACAAAGACATGTCTACAAGTAATAATGTTAATTTTCTACTCCTTAGTACAATAATTGTATCCAATATTCTTTTTATCAATAATTAATTGTATCCATTAGTAACAATAAATCAATTCATATCTATGCAATTTAAGTGCTATGCACATGAAATGAGTTGTTGTTTGTTTAAGAGTCAAACAAATACACACCGATTCAGAATATTCACTTGGACATCCGGATCAAGACGTGCTGGCCTTCAAGTTTAGGTATTAACAATCACATCTTAATTCAGATGTCCAAAAACACATTACAGATCGAAATGTGTCAAAGATTAAAGCTCCAACAGAGCCAACGTCCAAAGATCAATGCTCCGATATCACTTAATTTATAGCTTTTTGGTTTATTTCTCAAATTTTGACAATGACACTCCCTCCCTTCAATTTGCAAATCATTTTATTAACTAATTTTATGTTTCTGGTCCCGTTAGACACTGCACCCGTGATATTCGTATCTTATGTGCATTATTTGTTTCCTTATGACCCATGAGACTGTTAGAATTTGGATTGATGCAAACGGCTCATAACATCTCCCATCCATTTGTTCAAAAAGAGGTTTACGGTACAAAATCTTTATATGCATGCCCTACATATGTTTCAAAAAATCGAGTGTGCCTCATCTTGGCAGTATGCAACGATACGTTTTTGAGTGTGGCGATCATATTATCATGTAATGTCATTAAATTATGATTTATAACAAAGGTTAATAAAGATAGTACATAACATGTAGGCATGTATAAATACACATGTACAATATGAGTGAAATCATAACACTATATGATATTGAGATAACCGTACTAAAACATAAGAGCTCATTTGGAAGTGCTCTTAAAATGATTGAAAGCGCTTTTGGTGAAAATATTATTGAAATCAATCCTTAGTAAAAACGGAAATGAATTGTAGAAAAGCACTTGAAACAAAAAAATATTTTCTTTAAAAGCATTTTTAATCATTCCAAACAAACTCTAAATCAAATGCAACATATCCTCCCATTCACCAAGAAAATGATACCTTCCAAATTAGATTAGACGATGGCCAACTTGTATATTTTTTGTGAGATGGGATAAGTGAAGTTTGGGAATATCATCATTTATGTAAGACTTGGGCCATCACCAGTAATGACCCAAATGTTTTATTTTTTTATCTTTTAAATTAATGGAATGATAAACATACATCTTTTTCTTCTCACATACATCACTTTTTTAATATTATTAATCTTGGGTTTCGCTAGAATCTCATTGCTAAAATTTGGAGCATCTTTTTGGGACTACGACTTTTATAGATTCAACGTTTTTTGGTGGTGTCTGATTTTGCAATTGTTGTTTAACTAATATCACATGGTTCCATTGCTAATCATTTTATTAGTGAATTGATTAAAACTTATCATGTGATGTTATTGCGTGATTAGAAATGTAATACTCGGCATATCTATCGTGAGAATTTTTTTGTTGCTGATGAGTTGGCCAACCAGAGCCTCTCTCATCCTTCAGGTCCAGTCTATTTTGAGCAAACTTCATCTTCTAGTAAGTAGTTATTATTATCTGATTTATAAGTTTTCTCAACCTTGTGACATTATTTTGTAATTTCTCTTTTGTCGGACTATTATCCCATTTGTTTAACCAAAAGAAAAAATAAATTACAAACTTAAAAGGTTGTTTCTTAAACACCAAAAAATTGTTTGTTAAAAACACCTCCCTTAAATGAAATTTCCAAAAAAAGATTATTTGGACTCAAATTTAAGTATATAAATGCTGCTACCATGCGCAAGTCATATTCTGTGCGTATCCGGTACCCAGGAAGGGCTTTCTTTCTCTTTGCATGAGAGTGCGCATTACGCGCTGGACCAAAAGGCCCAATACCCAAAAGAAAACCGAAAAGAAAAGAAAAAAATAAATCAACTAAAAGTAGAATTCGTTTAGACGTGCTTTTAAAATAATTGAAAGTATTTTTAAAGAAAATATTTTTTTGTTTCACAAGTATTTTAAGTGTTTTTGCAAGAAGCACTTTAAATGCTTTTCTAAATTTAGTTATATTTTTAATAAGAATTAGTTTAAAAAATATTTTTATCAAAAATATTTTCAACAATTTTAAAAACACATTCAAACGAGGTTGTAATCAAGTATTGTTAACAGTTCGAAACGAGTTCATTCAGTTAATAGTACTGTGAGGAGAGAGAGAGAGTGATGCAGTAGCAGTGTTATGCTTAACAGCAAAGCGCTGCCACTCCCTCTCCAGCATCCTTTATTTAATTAATCAAAAAACTAAATCTAATATCTCTCTCTCTAGCAGCTACCAGATTTAAATCACAGTCTAGAGAGAGAAAATCAAACCCAAAGAGCAAATCCCACTCCCTTTCTCTCTAAAAAATCACACGATTTTGCCAGAACTCTGAACACTCTCTCGTTTTCTCTCCCTATCTCTATGCACATCGGCGCGTCTGTGTATTTATCTGCGATTTGAAACCCTAGGCATTTCGGATCCCGAGCTACATTTGGATGTGAAGGACCGTGCGCTGCTCAGATCGGGATATGGAGGAGGCTTTCGGCGACGGAGGTTATGCTCCGATGACGGAGTACAGTAACGGACCGGTTCATGGGGGTGCGCCGACACCGCCGCCGCTGATGGTGTCGGGATCGTTCAAGGAGGGGAAGAGCTCATCGCGGAGGAGAGGATTCAGGAGGCCGAGTATGGACGGCGACGAGCTCATAAACCTCTTGCACGGCTCGGATCCGGTCAAGGTCGAGCTCAATCGGCTCGAGAATGAAGTCAGAGGTGCGAATGCGGCTCGATCCGCTGCTTTTCTCGAGATTTGCAGTCGGTTTTGCGAGATTTCCCGGTGTCGTTTCACCCTTCTTGACTGTCGTTTTTGTGTGTGGTTTGCAGATAAGGACCGGGAGTTAGGAGAGGCACAGGCTCAGATCAAGGCTCTCAAGCTCTCTGATAGAGCCAGAGAAAAGGCTTGTGAAGAGGTTATTTTCGTAATTTTATTCGATCACCAACACAACAAAAAATCTGTGCGCGCGCTCTGTCAATCATTTTAGTCTTAATTTTTCCTTAATTGTAGAACATTAAATTTAGGCCAATATTTCCCATAAATTTTGTGGTATATGTATTGGGAATTTTCGGAGAAGACGACTTAGATGAATTACTTTGGTTAATTAATATGGAGTTTATTTTTTTATTAATTGATGGGCTATGGTTATTTGATTAGGATCCCATTTCTGGAGGACTGGGCTACATGTTCATGCTATGCCTTGCATATTAGTTGCCTATTCAGAATTTAACTTGTTCTCATTCCTTTTTTGGTTCTGGGGTAAACGTATTTTAATTAGACCGAGTTTATGGAATGTGTAGCAATGCATACGTGTATGGTAACCGCCCATTTAAGCTTATATGGAATGTTGGAAACTATAAATGTCGTTAAATTGGTCGCTGAATTTTCTTCTTGTCTATGTTTTCGTTACATTGCAGCTCACTGATGAGTTGTCGAAGGTGGAAGAAAAGCTGAAGTTGACAGAATCACTTCTAGAAAGCAGAGTATGATTTGAATCTGAATCTTTTATGAACTTTTTATTAAAATATTTCTAACTTACTTTGGCTTCTGTAATATATACTTTTTGTCACTATTTTACATCACAAAAAAATGTTTTGCAGAATCTTGAAATTAAGAAAATCAATGATGAGAAGAAAGCTTCCATGGCTGCTCAGTTCGCAGCTGAAGCTACTCTACGGAGGGTTCATGCTGCGCAAAAGGATGATGATATGCCTCCTATTGAAGCCATTCTTGCACCTCTGGAGGCAGAGCTCAAGCTTGCCCGGCAAGAGGTACATTCTGCTTACCCAAGGTGAAGAAGAATTATTGTGTTACTTGTAGGTGTAATTAATTAGTTACATTTAATTCTTACAGATTGCAAAACTTCAAGATGATAACAAAGCTTTGGATCGCCTTACCAAATCAAAAGAAGCAGCTTTACTTGAGGCTGAGAGGACTGTTCAGGTTGCCTTGGCTAAGGCCTCCATGGTGGATGATCTTCAGAATAAAAACCAAGAGTTGATGAAACAGATAGAAATTTGTCAGGTATGTGCAAGATAATGCATGATATTCCTTTCTTTAAGTGGATTAGACATTTTTTCCCCATCTGGGAGCAGTGTTTGGCATTGTATATTTGTAGTTCTCGCTGTCTTTGTTTGACTAGTATGATTTATTTGGTATTTCTGCTGCTTCTGTGTGTTAGGAAGAAAATAAAATTTTAGACAAGATGCATAGACAAAAGGTTGCTGAGGTTGAAAAGCTTACTCAGACTGTGCGGGAGTTGGAAGAGGCTGTTCTTTCGGGTGGTGCAGCGGCAAATGCTGTGAGGGATTATCAGCGGAAGTTTCAGGAGATGAATGTAATATGCCAACCATATTTAAATGCGCAATCTTGGCAGTTGCTTATAGTTTACCTGTAATGTGTAGTTGAAAGCATTCTTAAGATTGAAGAGGTTTCGGTTTTCTTATCTCAGGAGGAAAGGAAAACTCTGGACCGGGAGTTGGCCCGTGCAAAAGTAACAGCAAATAGAGTAGCTGTAGTGGTAGCAAATGAGTGGAAAGATGCTAATGACAAAGTGATGCCTGTAAAACAATGGCTTGAAGAACGGAGATTTTTGCAGGTAGTGTTTTCTGTCTTCCTTTTGGGGTTAGCTCTTCTTACTGGCTTTCTGAACTCAGTGTTTGGCTTATACTGTTTAGTAATGACAAACTGTGTTCTTACAGGGAGAAATGCAACAACTTCGTGACAAGCTTGCCATAACTGAGCGAGCTGCCAAGTCTGAAGCTCAGTTGAAAGTAATAATCTGGTTCCACAACCGATGCCAAATCTGTGTTCAGTTAAATTTACGGTGTCATATTTAGTAAAAGTTGTCTCTCTTTTTAACAGGAAAAATATCACATGCGACTTAAAGTGCTTGAGGAGAGTGTGAGAGGTAACAGTATTAATCGCAGCACAGTAGAGGGAAGAAGTACAAGCAATGGGCCCTCGCGACGTCAGTCCCTGGGTGGAGCTGATAACGCTCCAAAATTAAGCTCCAATGGGTTTTCATCCAAGAGAACTCCCGTCAGGTCTTTGTCCTCCAGCACCAGTTCAGTGTTAAAGCATGCTAAGGGCACATCAAAATCATTTGATGGTGGTACAAGATCATTGGACAGGGGTAAGGTTCACTTGAACGGTACAAGCCCCAGTTTCTCTGTCAACCAATCTTGTGAGGGAACAAAGGATGGTGAAGCTCAAACTAACTGGAAAGGAAATTCAGATGATAAGCCTGAGTTCTCGACAGTGGATACGGAGGATAGTGTCCCTGGGGTTTTGTATGATTTGTTGCAGAAAGAGGTTGTAGCGTTGAGGAAAGCTGGTCATGAGAAAGATCAAAGCCTGAAAGACAAGGATGATGCTATTGAGGTCGGTACTCTTTTCTATCAGTTTTATTATTCTGTAATGTTACCCTCGGTTAAGTGTTTGGTTATAATTATCGTCTTTCAGATGTTAGCCAAGAAGGTAGATACCTTGACTAAAGCAATGGAGGTTGAAGCAAAGAAAATGAGAAGAGAAGTTGCTTCCATGGAGAAGGAGGTAGCTGCCATGCGTGTGGACAAAGAGCATGAGAATAGGGCCAAGCGGTTTGGTCATACCAAAAGTTCTGTCAGCAGTGCTCAGGTTCTCTCTGGAAGGTACTTAGTCTCAATCTCTTACCACCTGTGATGTCTCGGACCATTTAATTGTTCGGTTGTACTATTTATTGAGTGCATTCTTACAATCATTATTTTTTGGGTACAAATGCTCATAGTGACCGCCGACGGTGTGACCTCTGTTGTGATTATTGTTCTCACAAAACTTGTAGAGATTTACATGTTCCACATACTGTGCAGGGGTCTCGCGCGAAGTGGGTTAACCCGCAGCACCCAATAACAAAAATCCTAATTTGGAGCTGCAGAAAGGCATTAAACCGCAGAGAGGCGCCTTGTTCCTCCTTCCGTTTTCCACACTTATTTTATTTTATCCTGTCCTTTCCTCCCTACCGCGATTGATTATAAGATAGTAGCTGGCATGCCGATGAAACCGTGTTCACCAAAAGCTGGTCAAGGGGAGCAACATCTGAGAAAGAAGTTGTCGGTATGCCTGCCTCTGACGTAGATTGTTATTCCCGTGCTTGTTAGAGAGATGAGCAGAAGAAAAGAGAAGGGGAAGAAGAAGAAGATTATTGACTTTTGGGCTAACCTACCTTTTGTGGCGTGGTCTCGTGAGTGGGCAATGGTTGTGTTTGTATAGGTAGCTTATTGGGTTTTGTTACAATGTTCTATGTTTTGCAGTTTATATTTGTAATTGCAGAAGCTAGTGTGGTTGTTGTTGGTTAAGGGGTTTGTTAATATTCTTGTAACCAGATCAAGATCAGATCTTTTGTTGGTTGTGTTAATTCCTCTATAGTCCACTGTTGGTTTATGTATCTCTCTCTCTCCCACACCACATCATGTCACGTTCCTAGCTAGATTTTAGGGTTCTCTTTTTGTTTTTCTAGGAGCAGGTCGCAATTGAAGATAAGATAAGAGAAAATTGGTTAATGTGATTTGGGTATGTGAACTGAAGATTCACCGATGTTTGGGGTTAGAAAATGTAACCATGAAATAGAGGCTCATAGCAAAAGAGGTAGAAGACAAAGGCTTAGGAAGATTAGAAAAGAAACTATAAAAAAGTATAGAGTACTTTGAGCTAATAGAAAACTTGACGCAAAACGGAGCGCAATGACGTGTTAAGATTCATATAGCCACTTAATGGAATAAGGCTTAGTTGTTCACTTGTTCTCCTTTTTTTTATTTTTATTAGATGGTATGTTAAATTAGGGAGTTAACGAGATTCGAACCCATACTAAAGTAAGAGCAACACCATCTATCTCCATCAATATATGGTAGCCGGCCACACGCATTTTAAACTCCTAATTAAATACATCACCTTAAAAAGGAATTAAATATACCGAAATTGAGATAAAAGGAGAAACATACTAAACGGAGGAGTCTATGTACGGAAAATTACCAAAAAACCAGCATAAACCTTCATCTACCATTCAACCAGCGCACACGGCCTCGTGGAGACTGAGACTTCGAGACCTCGCAGCCTATGAAAATTCCCAAATTGTCCCTCACCTTCTTCTTGAACTCACTCTTCAGCGAACTCGATTCATTCTTCACACCACAAATTCTTTTTCAAATTTATAAATTAATCGTCATGTCCTTCTTTTTCTCCCAATAGTAATCGCCAATTGAATTTCAATTTCCATCACAAAACATGTCATCGGAATCGTCAACTACGGCGGCGGCGGCGGCGCCCGAGTCACGTGCGCCGCTTCTTCTCCCCCGCCAGGGGAGCAACGGCCGGGACTCGTCCGACCTCGGCTCCCCGACCGCCCGGACCGGCACGCTGGCGATGCTGCTGGGACGGGCCACCGGGCGCAGGGGGGCGTCGATGCTGGTGCGGGAGACGGCGGCGCGGGAGCTGGACGAGCGGCGAGCCGACTGGGGGTACTCGAAGCCGGTGGTGGCTCTGGACATGATGTGGAACACGGCGTTCGTGGTGGTGTCGGTGGTGATGCTGATATGGACGGAGGACGAGCGCCCGAACACGCCGATCCGGCTGTGGATCTACGGGTATGCGCTCCAGTGTTTTGCACACGTGGTGCTGGTGTGGGTGGAGTACCGGAGGAGGAATAATATTGCTTGGAGGCTTAGTAGGAGAAACCAGGAGGCCCAGCAGGAGGAGCACCAGGTGGATATCGATGCTGTCGATACCGACGATGAAGAAGCAGCTAGGGAATTGGCGACTTCCACTCGCTCCAGGTACATATTATTTTCCATTTTTAGTAACTACTTTTTTAAGAATTCATGGAGTTCAATTTGGACAGTAGAAAGCAGTTTGACTAGTAATCTTTGATTAATGGGCTGCTCTTTCACAAGATTATGTATTACATAGGAGATTAGTGGATATTTAGAGTACTTTATTTCCATTTGTTTGAAGAAATGGGATTGAAACTTGACCCAAAAGAAAGAAGAAGAAATTTGAATAGCTCCTTAAACTGGAAACGGGAGTCGAACTAGATTAGTGCAAGAAAGTCCCGTAATCCAATTATTTGTATCATTCTATGTCGCCCGACTTAGTATCTTTACTGCATAGCTCAATATGGAACATTGACATCGTTCGCGTGTCTTAGAATTTGGTAGTTTTAAGGAATGGCAGTGTGAAACCGTGTGGACATGATAGTTATGATTCTAACATTACTCGTATCTTCACAGCTACCATTCACTTTTTTCCCTTACATATGGCAGCTACCATGGCTATCTCTGTGTTTGTTGTGAAAACCCAACTTCACTCGACCATCAAGGCTTTAATCTTTACATTATTCACATTTTTTGTGATCTAGTTTTCATATAGTTTGGGGATGATGCAAGCAAAATATGTATCCTTGTTCAATTGACCAAGGTGTTATGAAAACTTGCTATAGCATTTCCAGGCTTTAGCCGTATTTGCAGTTAGAGTTTTCATCATGTGCTGTCTTAATACTGTGCTGGAAAGGTTTATAAATTACTGACTGACTCTGTTTTATATGGCCTAGTGTCTCTAAACGACTTGAAACGATGAATACAATGGCATCATTTCTCTGGTGGATAGTTGGCTTCTATTGGGTAGTTTCTGGGGGTGAAGTTCTTCTGCAAAATGCTCCGCGTTTGTACTGGTATTTCTATAATCAATCTATCAAGACTTGTTCCTTGATCTGAAAATATAGGCATCACGTGTGTTTGGCTGTTTATGGAGATATTGAGCTCGTTTGGATGTGCTTTTAAAATGACTGAAAGTGTTTTTAGAGAAAATATTTTTGAGTTCCAGAAGCACTTTAAGTGCTTTCTACAAGAAGCACCACTTATATTCTTCTTCCAGGAAGCACTTTAAGTGTTTTTTTCATGATTTATTAGCATTTTTATTAAAGATTGTTTCCAAAAAGATTTTCACCAAAAGCGCTTTGAGTCATTTTAAAAGCACATCCAAACGAACTCGTTCTTTCTTTCCCTTTTTATGACTTAGTAATTTTATTTGTTTCAACAAATTGTACATTAGGAATTTTATTAGTTTCACCATAGGGTAGTTATGACATTATAATGTTAGTGATGAATACAGAAGCTGGGGGAAGGCAGATCACGTTCAAAACCTTGCTTTTGAGTACTATAATGACCGGTAGCTTTAACACAAGTCACCCTGAGCTGTGCATGATAACTCAATACATATTTTGTAACTGCTAGAATAAAAGAAAAATATCTGATTCCGAATTTGTGCAGGTTGGCTGTGGTTTTTCTGGCATTTGATGTCTTCTTTGCCATCTTTTGTGTTGTCCTGGCATGTTTGATTGGAGTTGCTCTTTGTTGCTGTTTGCCATGCATCATTGCAATTCTTTACACCGTTGCAGGACAGGTATGAAGAGAGAACCTATAACTATGATTCAACGTTTTCTTAACAAATGATGGAGTTGTCACTGCTTATTCTTGGCTGTTTTTTTTTGGGTGTGACAATGTAGGAAGGTGCATCCGAAGCAGATCTCACTATTCTGCCAAAATACTGGTTTCGAGCGAACAGTGAGGAAAAACCTAGTGTTGGAGCAGGGAAAATGATTCCGGCAGAAACAAGCAGCGGGTACCTAGCAGTTGAGCGTGTTCTTTTACCTGAGGATGCGGTATGTTATGGCATGTGATCATGCATTGCAATTACGTTTCAGTATATTAATGAAAAAATCCATTTGCCCTACTAGAAAATGAATAATACTTGCATTCCCCCTTTTGGCGAATGAGCTCATTCTCCCACTTGCAATAACGTATTTTCATCATACAAATATCATAATCGAAAACATTAAATGTCTCAATTTTCATCTGAAGATAATCCTTCCAAAACATCATTCAGTCAGATACATGTCTGCATATACGTCTTATTGCATTTGCAACATTTTAATTTCTGACGGATTTTTATGCTTTAAAGATTTATGGTCGTTCGGTTTTATTCCTTTCAGGAATGTTGTATATGTCTCAGCCCGTATGAGGATGGGGCAGAGCTTCATACGCTTCCCTGTAATCATCATTTCCACGCTACGTGCATTGTGAAATGGCTTAAAATGAATGCAACATGTCCTCTCTGCAAGTACAACATTCTCAAGGGAAATGATCCGGTTTAAAGGATCGATAGGAAACTGCAAGTACCGTATGTACAGAAAATGTGATGACTGCAAAGCTTTTCAAATAGTTATATCGATATTGACTTACAGCTTACCAAACTGTACCCCATTGTGTCTGTTTTCCGGCCATTTGGAGTCGCCTTTGATTCTTTCAGTTTTTGTCTGTGCTGTTTCATGCCTGTGCAAAAATGGAGATAGAGATAACAGGCTTCAAAATCTTGTTAATCTGTTACGTAGCTTTCCTTTCCTAGCAAGGAAAAACGATTGTTTTGCGTATCTATGTATTCGTGTTATTGATACGAGGTTGCTAAGAGTTCATCTTGTAATTCGGCTACTTTGGCATAGCGACAGGGTTTTTTGCGGGTCATCGATAAACAACGTTTTATTTTGCTTCGTTAAGAACATAATGTTACACTGTTAAGCCTTGATGGATTACACAAGCTCTGATTCTGCGCACTTCCTTCTCTATTTTTCTGCAACTGCATTTCCAGGTTGGTGCAACGTTACGACTTCAAGAGGACCAAAAGATAATCCGTGATCCTTTTATATAGTTCCCGACAGCCGGCGAACTAAATCGGAATGCAGTGCATGGCCACCCTGCGTGACATGCCACGAAACAAACAAAGGAATTGATTGAATATCCCATAACCATTTTATCCCAAGCACTGCGTGGACATAAAAACGAGCCAGACTTATGGAATCCGCACAACGAATACCTTGTATGCCACTATATGTGCCACTGGAAGCCCTTGGCTTCCAAACCTTGCGAAAAGGGAAAGGTCGCCGATAAGATCTAAGACCTTGTGTCGACAAGGTTCATCTGGAAAACGCAGCGGTGGGTTCAACCAACCCTTACTAGCACTGCATGAGGAAAACAGGATGAAGTTTCAGTGGGGAAAACAAGTAAGAACCGAGAGATTCTTCGAACTTTATACCATTTTCTGCCTGAACTCGTTGCTTAACGTGTATAAAATCAAATCCAACCGGAAACTCTCGTGTCAGTTCAGGTCAATCCATATTTGATCACCCATGTCACCCCCTATCGAGTTCAAATCAACATAAATCCGAGCATCTTACCTGCAAACAATTGCGTTTTCTAACCCACCACCTTTTATGAGTCCTGCCTCGCGCATTCGCTCCACCTGTTAGAACACGGATTCAAGCATTAACGTAATAACTTGAACAATACATTACTAATCTAAAACCAAAAACAGAGTAATGGCAAGACTACTGATGGAGAACAATTCAGTACCGACCTCCTCGTAAATGCAAAAGGTTCTTGACAAAGCAATCTGCTTGGAATAGAAAGAGTTATCCAAGGAGGTGACAGAAAACCACTGGCAGCCAATAGCATCCACCTACAGGAAGTGTCAAACAAGTAACCCGAAAATCAGCCCACAAATTCCCACATTTGGACAAAGAAGTTGAAGAAAAACAAAATAATGTGTAGATATTTGATAGCCATTCCTCTCATTAACTAACCAATCTCTTTCAATTGATGATGATTAAAAAGAATAACTATTTGCTTCACATTCCAATTCCATGCTGTTAGTACAGACAGTTTTCAATCCGGGAAAATGTGTACCTGCGGAAAGTCAATCCCGTAAGTGATACGGATTTCTGGTGATGGGAAAGCAGCTACAAAAGAATTATTCCTCCAGACATGAACTGGCTCGTTCATATGTGCCGCCATCTTTTCACAACAGTTGCCATGCTCATCTGTTGCCTCTTTTAGACCAACTTGTTTTATAGCCTCCACCCATTCTCTTGCTGACCCATCAAAAATAGGAACCTGCACGACTTGATTTTGAGCATGATCATTTCTCCTATGTCATCTTCGATAACCAGTAAGGATAGCGATTTTGACACTCCTTTTTCAACCATCTACACTCTAAGCTGAATATTTTACAATTCTTCTGCATTAACACGAGGAGTGCTAAGGGAGGAGTGTCCCCGTTTGCATTTGGGAATGCTTCTGAAAGGGCTAAGAGTACTTTGACAACCAAAAGCACTTCTGAGTTCCGACTAAGTTTGAATTTCCGGTCAAGCACTTGGAAGTCTTTTAGAAGCAATTCCAATCGAGTCCAAAAGCTTTAAACCATCAGTAATTCTTCATGTTCTAAATTATGATTGCCTCAAATTACTTGGAAGTGGCAATTACACAGTTCAAGTTCCCAAAAAAACCTACCCAAGTCCTCATACAAATCGAAAAAATTCACAACTTTATGGTACCAACCTCAACATCGATATCTTCGGGGTCCGAGTTCTTGACCTCAATCCGGCAATTGTCAACCTCCATAGCTTCCAAAGCCGAAAGCAAATGCTCAACTGTCCGAATTTTGACCCCATCTTTACAGAGAGTGGTGCAGAGAGGCGATTCCTCGGCAAACTCAACCGAAGCTCGAATCGCATTTGACCGGCAAACAAAGTATCTCCCTTTGCCGGCGTGATCCGGCCACAATTTCACGGCGGAGACCTTGCCGCTGTGCAAGCTCTTCCCTTTCCGCTCTATGCATCCCGCTAAGGTCTGCTGAAGCCTACCGGTCTGTAATCAAATAAGAAAAAAACACACTCAGACACATTTTCCCGCGATTTTTCCGCTTGGTTGCTGAGAAAATGCATTCAGAGAGAGAAATTATACAGATTTCCAGAAGATGGATTTGGAGGACTTGAATGCGTTGAAGGCACTGGAGAGTGTCATAGCTTGCTGGATTGACGGCGAGTGTCGAAACGCCGTCGTCTCGCGCCTTAAACTAGGGATTTCGCGGTGGATCTTTGGCGGGACTGTGTGCGAGCTAGGGCTTTCTACTGGTTTTGCCCGACTGACTGGAGACTAAATTTTGGGTTCCAATTTTTAGGCTTTCAAAAAAATAATTGTTAATGGCATTTTAAAAGTTTACTTTTTATCTTAAATTTTTTATAACTCAAAAAATTAATAAGGATGTAAAATGAGATTTTTGAATTGTTAATAACAATTTTTTATAAAAAAATAAAAGAAAATTGGAGTTTATTTGTTTATTTTGTGACAGGATAATAAAAGCATCTCAAATTGCAGTTTTATTTAATTAATTCTGTTATTTAAGGAAAAATATGTTATTTTTTGTGACAGGATGTTTAAACTTCAGATGCAGGACAATTCGCCATCTACAAATGTTAAGGAATAAAAGATGAAGGCAAATTTCTATAAACATAATAGTCCAACTTGAGTTTACGGATTTCCAAAATATTATTAAGGTCTAACTCAATTGAGGTTTTTTGTTTTTGAAATATAATAGCTTCCTTAATTTTTGTAATTTGTGAGAATCAATTCAAATATGGTAAACAAATTTTTTTGGGTTAATCTCTGTTTACTAACCTGAAGTTTCGTGGTTTTCAACATTTGGTACATGAAGTTTTTTTCATCCCAGAGTTATACCTCAAGTCTTAATTTTGGGACAGTTTCGTACATTCCGTTAGTTTTTCTGTTAACTGATGACGTGACGCTCACGTGGGCAATGACTTGGCGCCACGTGGATATTAAAAAAATTAAAAATAATAAAATAACAACAAATTAAATTTAAAAAAAAAAAACTCCATCTCTCTCTTTCTTCCCCCTCTTCGCCCTCTCTACCAAACCCTAACCCTAAATTCCAACCTCCCACACTTCCTGCAATCAACCCTCATCGCCAGCCACACTCCAATCCAACCCCCATTGCCTTCTTCTTCAATCATCGTCGCTATCCCCGTGACCGCGACTGCAACTGAATTGCTCCCGACGTAAAACCACCGATCGTGATCGTATTTTGACATCGTCCTCACCAGATTCTCCACGAAGAACACCGTGTCATCGTCACCAAACACGAACCACCTCACATTCGGCTCGCCGCGATCGACGACCTCCTTGACCATGCATGCCACGCGGATCGCGGAACGGCGCCCTCCATTGAAAGTGTACGGAAAACAGGAGGTATCACCGGAGACGACGACAGGAGCGATGGACTTCTCGCCGGAGGAGTCGATTGGTGCACGATCAAGAAACGCGAAGGCGTGGATGGAGGCGGGGGAGCACCAGAGGCGGAGGTATGGCTCGCGGCGGGACCAGGAGCGGGAGGAGGACGTGACGGCGAAGACGAGGTGGCTGCGTGTGGTGGGGGAGGAAGTGTAGCGAGAGAGAAGGGCTGGCAGCGTGTGGAGGAAGAGGAAGTAGAGGTTGAGGAAAACAGAGAGGAATAACATGAGGGCTTTGAAGTGGGCGAGGGTTAAGGTTCTGGGCATTACAGACAGGAAGGGGAAAGAGATATCGGTATCGAATTGCTTTGCCGGCGGGGTTGGTTTTTCGTTTGATTTTCTGGTACATTTAAAAAGTTACAGCGAAGATGATGAACTAGTTGCAGTCGAAGGCGATGGGGTTGGATTTGAGGGTGGCTGGCTATGAGGGTTGATTGCAGGAAGTGTGGGAGGTTGGAATTTGGGGGTTAGGGTTTGGTTGAGAGGGCGAAGATAGGGAAGAAAGAGGGAGAGAGGGTGTTTTTTTTTAAATTTTAAATTTTGTTATTTTATTATTTTTAATATCCACGTGGCACCCAGTCATTGTCCACGTGGGTGCCACATCATCAGTTGACAGAAAAACTAACGGAAAACTTAACAAATGTACGAAACTGTCCCAAAATTAAGACTTGATGTATGACTCTGGGATGAAAAAAACTTCATGTACCAAATGTTGAAAACCACGAAACTTTAGGGTAGTAAACAGAGATTAACCCAATTTTTTTATTTGACAATCTTAATAAACTTACCTGATTCTACATTTAAAATTGACGTAAAAGAGGAATGTTTAAGCTCAAAACATTATAAGAGAAATATGCCCAGATTAAATTCCTCTCACTATTTGGTTTACAATTTCCCAATCAAGCAAGGGCTCTTTTGATGCTAGGATAAATACACTCACTAACAATCCAAGGTATATGCTATTACTTTGAGCAAGAAAAACAAAATAATAACAAAATTAAAACGAACGAAGGAAAAAAAAGAAAAAAAGAAGGAAGAATCAAAATTTAGGCGCTCCGGTGAACCGAGCCGTTCAGCGAACCGGACCCTCCGGGTTATCCCCAAAGCACCTTTTAATTTGCCCGCCACAAACAAAACCCTCCCCAAAACCCTAATTTACGAATCTCCCCCACTTCCCTACTCTCTCAGTCGTAGCCGTGTGAAAATTTGCTCTCCAATCCAAAGACTTTCCCTGTTTGGTTCCCGAGAAAGGGAGGGAAAACCGACTCAAGATTTCAGTTTTACACCCCGAAGGGCTTCAATTTTTTTCAATTTTGCCCGTTCGGAGTTCTAGGGTTTTGAACGCCATGTCCTGGGAGGACGAAGTCGTTATGCGTGATGTCACCCATGCGGGTATCGTCGTCGGCGACCGCATTGGCCGTGAAGTCGCGTCGCAGCTCGATCTTGAAGAAGCCCTAGAAGCGTCCCGATACGTTAGTCACCCCTATTCTACTCATCCCAGAGAGGTAATTTCCGTAATTTATGCGAATTAAAAGCTTTGATTTTTGTTGTAAAAGTTTGATATTTAGGGCTCAGATTGCAATGTGTTAATTTTGGGCTCATTGTTTCTCTCTTGTAAGATTTCTGGCTTTGTTATTCGATCTTTGAGAAGTATATATTCACAAGTATAATTTCATTCCAATCATTGTTAGTATAACCTTCTTGAACTGGATCATTGTTCTTGAACTGAAGTATCGGCATTTACCGGTGTACTGGGTAAATGATAGGACTTCATGAATTTGTTGTATTTCCTTGGTTTTTCAGCACTACCGCACTGGTGGATCACTAAGTATATTATTTAGGCAATGTGTGTGAGAGTTGCGTAGCACATATGGTATTTATCATGTGTGCCATTTTAGTTGGCAATCTTCTGACAGTCAATGGGTATCGTTCTTTCTAAATGACTTGATCTCAACATTAGTAATGTATTATATTATTTCTAATAAATTAATTATGATAAAATTCATTTTTGATGTGTTATTTACACTTGTTTTCTGCTCATAAGTAGTGCCATATTTCATGTTATTGTTTAACAATCTGATATTACAGTGGGATCATATTTTTGTTTAGATTGTATGACTTGAATTCAGTTCTGTTCTCTAAAGCTTTACAATGATGTTTATTCCATTGCAGTGGCCACCTTTGGTTGAGGTGGTGGATACTTGGGAGTTGCCTCTCGTACTTATTGAAAGATACAATGCAGCTGGTGGGGAAGGAAATTCATTATGTGGGATTTTTCCCGAGATTCGTAGGGCATGGGCATCAGTAGATAACTCCTTGTTTCTCTGGCGTTTCGACAAGTGGTGAGTATATAGTCATAAGATGATAATACTACTAATAGAAAACCTATGAAAATAAATAATTTCAAGATGCGGATATCATAACTAGTACCATACTTGTAGCTTTTTGACCACTGGTCCATGGGTTTCATCTCCACGCTTTCGATTAAATCCCTCTGACATTCTCTATTTATCAGGGATGGACAATGTCCAGAATATAGCGGGGAGGATCAAGCTATTTGTGCTGTTGGCCTTGCTAAATCTAAACCTGGTGTTTTCATTGAAGCTATTCAGTATCTTTTGATTTTGGCAACCCCTGTTGAGGTATGTTGGTTATTATCTCCTTTGTTTATGTCTATATCCCCATGGGTACAATTCTGACAATTGAAAACAAAATTTCCAGGCATTGCCTGGTTGATCCCACATAGATTGTGGTGTTAAGATTAATTGCTGCTTTAGAATTATTTTTCATTTTTTTACCTTTTTCCTGTGAAGTTAGTGATGACTGCTTAAAGTTGTGACCAGTGGGTATACATTGCTCTTAATCATACTTGGATATTTTTATAAGTTGGATTAAGACACTTATTTTATCTAAACTAAGGATAGAGTTTTCCCTAAGCAAGTTGGTGCCCGCAGTTCGAGTCTTGGAAAAAACTATCTGGAGACGGGTATGGCTTGGTAGAAGCCTCCAGTATTGGTCTGCCTTTCTCTTTAGAAGATATTTAACTTGAGAATTGAATATTCAGTCATAATTAGTTGCAATTTTTTTAATTTTCTGTATTTGACTTTGTTGACTTTTGTTTAAGCTGTATCTTCTGTTTGATACTTGCCATAAGGGTTTCTTTTAATTTGTTTGCAGCGTAGAACTTTTAACAATTTCTAGTTGAAGTTTGTAGTTTTCCTTAATGGTCTCTGTCTTTTATCAGTTAAGTCTTGTAGGTGTATGTTGCTCTGGAGGGGCTGGTGGCACAGATCCTTATGCAGAGGTCTCACTACAGCCATTGCCAGAGTATACAGTACCATCTGACGGAATCACAATGACATGTATCACGTGTACTGACAAGGGTCGTATTTTCCTTGCTGGGCGTGATGGCCACATTTATGAGCTACATTATACGACTGGATCAGGCTGGCAAAAGCGTTGTCGGAAAGTTTGTCTGACTGCTGGTATAGGAAGTGTTATTTCAAGGTTGGTTGGACTATCTTATTTTTTCCTTCTTTGCTCTCTTCAAAGTTGTAATTATTCTGGTGGTTTTTCCAATTGGTGGGTTTTCCAATTTCCACCTAAAAGTTTGAAGTTGGATATTCTTTTTCTTAGATAACATATTCACATGACATGTTTTGTTTCGTTTGTTTTCAGATGGGTAGTACCTAATGTTTTTAAGTTTGGAGCTGTTGACCCCATTGTTGAAATGGTTTTTGATAATGAAAGGCATATCCTGTATGCACGGACTGAAGAAATGAAACTTCAGGTGTATATTGTGGGGCAAAATGCTGATGGGCCATTGAAGAAAGTGGCAGAAGAAAGGAATCTGATAAATCAGAGGGATCATTATGGGGGTAGACAATCAACTGGACCTAGAGGTCCAAATCGATTGCCAAAGTCATCAATAGTCTGCATATCACCATTGTCTACACTGGAATCCAAGTCTCTACACCTTGTTGCTGTTTTGTCAGATGGCAGAAGGATGTATCTTACCACTTCTCCTTCTAGTGGAAATCTAGGTGGGTTCAATACAAACCATTATAAACCTACCTGTTTAAAAGTTGTGACAACAAGGCCTTCTCCTCCACTAGGGGTCAGTGGTGGACTTGCCTTTGGAAGCGTGTCTCTTGCGGGTAGGTCTCAGAATGATGATCTCTCCCTAAAGGTTGAGGCAGGACATTATTCTGCTGGAACTCTTGTCCTTTCTGATTCATCTCCAGCAACCACAACTTCTCTTCTTATTGTGAGCCGTGATTCAACAGCACAATCAACTGGGTTAAGTACTTCAGGGATAAGTTCCAGGAGTTCTCGGGCACTGCGGGAATCTGTATCTTCTTTACCAGTTGAAGGTCGAATGCTTTTTGTAGCAGATGTTTTCCCCTTGCCTGATACTGCAACAACTGTACTGTCTCTATATTCAGAAATCGAATATGGTGGATATGAAGGCTTGGATGAGTCCTGTGAAAAGGTATCTGGAAAGCTTTGGGCCAGAGGTGACCTGTCAATCCAACATATATTGCCAAGAAGGCGCGTTGTTGTTTTCAGTACTATGGGAATGATGGAAATAGTTATCAATAGGCCTGTGGACATTCTGAGGAGGTTGTTTGAGGCCAACACCCCCAGGTCAATCTTAGAAGAATTCTTCACTCGTTTTGGAGCTGGTGAGGCTGCTGCAATGTGTCTAATGCTTGCAGCTAGGATAGTACATTCAGAAACTCTTATAAGCAATGTTGTTGCACAGAAGGCGGCTGAAGCTTTTGAAGACCCAAGATTAGTTGGAATGCCACAACTTGAGGGTAGCAGTGCATTATCTAATACTAGAACCGCTGCTGGGGGATTCAGCATGGGGCAAGTTGTTCAGGAGGCTGAGCCTGTGTTTTCAGGTGCACATGAAGGGCTCTGTTTGTGCGCTGCAAGGTTGCTATTTCCTTTGTGGGAACTTCCAGTCATGGTTATAAAAGGTGATTCTATGTCAGAAAATGGGTTAGTCGTATGCAGACTCTCTCTTGAGGCTATGCAAGTCCTTGAAAACAAGATTCGTTCGCTAGAGAGTTTGTTGAGGTCCAGAAGGAACCAAAGGAGGGGACTTTATGGCTGTGTTGCTGGTTTAGGAGATCTAACTGGTTCTATTCTTTATGGAGCCGGTTCAGAATTAGGTGGTGGTGACCGTGGTACGGTGAGGAACTTATTTGGTGCTTACTCAAGGAACACTGAGTCTAGTGATGGTGGTGTGTCTAATAAAAGGCAGAAATTACCATATAGTCCCGCTGAACTAGCAGCAATGGAGGTAGTTTTTGTATATCTTAAATGCATCAAGGTGTTTGTTTATACAGTACTTTTCCTCTCCTTTTCCTAATTTTTGTTTATCTTTTATCCTGCAGGTTAGGGCGATGGAATGCATCAGGCAGTTACTTCTTAGATCCAGTGAAGCCCTGTTTCTGCTCCAGCTTCTTTCACAGCACCATGTCACACGGCTGGTTCAGGGGCTTGATGCTACCGTACGACAGAAATTAGTTGTAATGACATTTCATCAGTTAGTTTGTTCGGAGGAAGGTGACCACCTTGCTACAAGGCTTATATCTGCTCTTATGGAGGTAGTGCTATTTTAGATTTAACATTGAGGAATGTCACTTTAGCAAAATTTCCTTTTCTTTCCCTCTATTGTTTGTTCGGAGGAAGGTGACCACCTTGCTATTGATGCTCTGGTTAGAAGATGCAATTACGGGACAGAGGTTCAGGGCCAAAGGGGTAGAGGAAGACCTAGGAAGAATTCGGAAAAGACTCTAAGAAAAGACTTAGAGTACTTGGATCTAACGGAAGACGTGGCACAGAATTGAGCGCAATGGCGTTTTAGGATTCATACAGCCGACCCCACTTAGTGGGAAAAGGCTTTGTTGTTGTTGTTGTTGTTGTTGTTGTTCCCTCTATTGTTTATCAGGTTTTTTTATGTATTTATCTTTTGCAACTCTTCATTCTGATATTTTCTTGTTATTCATTGCTCCAGTATTATACTGGTCCTGATGGCAGGGGGGCAGTAGATGATATTAGTGGGAGATTACGGGAAGGCTGTCCAAGCTATTATAAGGAGTCTGATTACAAGTTTTTTCTAGCTGTGGAGTGTCTTGAGAGAGCTGCTATAGCTCCAGATCCTGACAAGGAGAGTCTTGCTAGAGAAGCCTTCAATTTCTTAAGTAAAGTTCCAGAATCTGCTGACTTACGAACTGTTTGCAAACGGTTTGAGGATTTGAGGTCAATTTCTTGGGACAAAGCCCAGTGCTGTTTTGTTTGGTTGTCTGTAGTTAGGTTGTTATGTCTTAGACATAAAATTGATTATGTTGCAGGTTTTATGAAGCAGTGGTTCGCTTGCCTTTACAAAAGGCACAGGCTCTTGATCCCGCAGGTGATGCTTTTAATGACCACATTGATGCAGCAGTTAGAGAGCATGCGCTTGCTCAACGTGAACAGTGCTATGAGATTGTCATCAGTGCATTGCGTTCTCTGAAAGGCGAGCCTTCTCAGAGGGAGTTTGGTTCTCCTTTGAGGCCTGCTGCACGATCTGTCCTTGATCAGGTCTCTCGGAACAAATATATTTCCCAGATTGTTCAGCTGGGCATTCAGTCTCCTGACCGATTATTTCACGAGTATTTGTACCGTGCTATGATTGATTTGGGCCTTGAAGATATATTGTTGGAGTATGGAGGTCCTGATTTGGTGCCGTTTCTAGAAAGTGCTGTTTCTGGGGTAACATCATCCAGTTCTCCAATTGGTCACTCAGGAACAAGCATCCCATCCAATCAAGCCAAATATTCTGAACTGTTGGCACGGTATTATGTCTCAAAGAGGCAGCATCTGCTTGCAGCTCGTGTATTACTAAGACTGGCAGAGAGGCGCTCAAGTGACACGGTGGATGTTCCTACTCTAGATCAAAGGTAAGCATATTTGTCCCTTCAGTCTTCTTTAGTTCTCTCTGGAGACTCGAGTTGTTGTGGTGCCTTTCCAAACACTGTACCAGGGTTTTATATTACTAGAAATTATAGCTAAATAGTTTGTGAGGTTTTTCTTTGGGTATCTCTTTGTGTTTTTGTGGGAGTTTTTAGTGCAAGCCGTCCTAAGTAATGATTTTTGTCAACTCCAGGTATCATTACCTGAGTAATGCAGTCCTACAGGCAAAAAATGCAAGTAACAATGATGGCATGGTAGGTTCTGCTCGAGGCGCTTATGATGATGGGTTGTTAGATTTGCTGGAAGGAAAGCTTTCTGTCCTTCGTTTTCAGATAAAGATCAAGGAGGAACTTGAGGCTTTTGCCTCCAGGATAGAAGCTTTGGCTGATGCATCGGAGCCTGTCCAAAGTGGAACTTCTGGTGATGCCAATCTTGCAATTATTGCACGAGAAAAGGCCAAGGAGCTATCATTAGATTTAAAGAATATAACTCAGCTCTACAATGAATATGCTCTTCCATTTGAACTTTGGGAGGTACTTGGTTTCTTCTGCTCGTCAATCACTCTGTTATTTCGAATTGCTCCTTACTGCTTAATGGGTTGGGGAATTCTCGTTTTCATTTATAACTGAATCTTTGTTTTTCCTCTCGTGCACACAGATATGTCTAGAGATGTTATACTTCGCATACTATTCTGGTGATGCTGATAGCAGCATCGTACGAGAGACGTGGGCTAGATTGATTGATCAAGCTCTTTCAAGGGGTGGCATTGCTGAAGCTTGTGCAGTATTGAAGAGAGTTGGTTCTCACATTTATCCTGGAGATGGAGCTGGTTTACCCTTAGACACATTGTGTCTCCACCTCGAGAAAGCTGCAATGGTACGTTGGAGAGACACGCACAAACTCTTAACTCATAAATGTGTGTGAGCGCACAAACAAAAGTCGTTACAAAAGTTGATTACTTAAAAATTAAAGAGTTACCTGATTTTTCATTTTATTTTGTTTCATATCTATTTGTAGGATCGACTGGAATCAGGGGTTGAATCGGTTGGAGATGAAGATGTGGCAAGGGCTCTTCTTGCTGCATGCAAGGGTGCAACCGAGCCTGTACTGAACACTTATGACCAGTTGTTGACAAGTGGTGCTATTTTGCCATCACCAAACCTTAGGTTACGCCTTCTCCGATCAGTGCTGGTAGTACTTCGAGAGTGGGCAATGTCTGTGTTTGCACAGAGAATGGGTACTAGTGCTACTGGAGCTTCGTTAATTTTAGGTGGAACTTTCTCGATGGAGCAAACGGCAGTCCTCAACCAAGGGGTTCGAGATAAGATCTCAAGTGCAGCAAACAGGTGAGCTTTCTTCTCTAAACATCCTTAACAGTTTTCAATGTACGATTATATTCCGAGATTAAGCTCTTTTGTTCCTGTTGTACTGGACTTTCAGGTACATGACCGAGGTACGAAGGTTGGCCCTTCCACAAAGCCAGACTGAAGCTGTTCACCATGGCTTTCGAGAACTTGAAGAGTCGCTGACCAGTCCCTTTTCTTTTGATCGTTTTTGATTGTTCAGTGTACGAGATTTTTCTTGTTACTTGTTGCATTTAAAAATTAAATTATCTTGTAACTTCAAGCATTGGATGTGTCGTGTAATTTTCTGCAAAATCGATATCGAAAGTCGTCTTGTTTCAGCCAAATAAATGCAATATTTTTTTTTAAGGGACTTTAACTAAAAGTTTTTGGTGATGTTTATTTTAACAAAAAAAAATCATATTTTTACATTAAAAAATTAATTCTGGTACTATTTACTTTACCTTTTATTTTGTCTTTATCGATAAAATTCAAAGTTTTCAAGTTATTTTGATTATTATTATTTTTTACGCAATTTGATGCAACGATGAACAGGGAATGACAATATAGTTTCTTTAACTTTTTATTTAAAAAGAAAGCATCATTTTTGAAAAAATAAAGGCGAATTATATAGTGTTCTTTTTCCATGTTGCACTTTGTGATATCGGGCCTTGCAACAAATTTGTCCACTAATTTTGTACTCTAAATAATTATTAATCAAATTCCAATTTGAATTAAAGTAAAAATTTGATTGATGACAATTATTTGATGCGCGCAAATTTAATAAAACTAGTATTTTTTAATGATATTAACCAACTTAAATTTAGCGTTAAAAGTTTAGCATACAAATTTGATACACCTAACATTGTGACGAAATAGATGAGATTCACGTTAAAAATTACAACTCACAGCCGATCATCCATCATCCATCATCCATCACCATAAAAAAAAAAAAACGAGGGTACATCCGTCTTTTCGAGCAACAACCAGACTTCCAACCTCTGTTACTGTTAGCCCCTTCCGTGATCGCCCCAATAGTCAAATACAGAGAGAGAGAGAGAGAGAGAGAGAGAGAGGACTGCCACGACTGAGAGTAGAAAGCACAGACAAGCAGCCAGAAACCAAATAAATAAAAAATTAAAGGAAAAAAAGAAGAAGTAGAAATTAGAAGTGAAAAAGAAAAACGAAAAGGAAAGCAAAAACTTCCGTAGAAATTTTGCTTTGCAGTTTTCTTCCGTTTCCCATTCGTTCCCAAATTTCTGCAGATCTGATTTTCCATTGGAATTTTCGGATTCCCGAAGTCTTCGATTCCGGCGAAAACCCTAGAGAAATGTTCCGATTCGAGCAGGAGAAGATCCGGAAACGAATTTGACGCCCGAATTCTGTGTCCTTCGATCGGTGAATTCGTTTCTTTTGAAAATTTTGTAATTCCTAGGGTTTGACATGGCCGACGGTATTTCAGTGATTCCCGCGGGCGTCCTCCGCAACCTCGCGGACAAGCTCTATGAGAAGCGCAAGAATGCCGCTCTTGAGGTCTCTTTCTTGCGTCGATTGATTCTGTTGCTAGGGTTTCGAGTTGTTGCAATTAGATCTTGAAGTCTTATTGTACGATTTTATTGTATGGTTATGTGCTGGCGTTCATGTGCAGGTTGAGGGAATAGTGAAGCAGCTCACGACGGCTGGGGAGCATGATAAGATTACGGCGGCGATCAATTTGCTCACTACGGAATTCACTTACTCGCCGCAAGCCAACCACCGGAAGGTATTGGTGTTATTAATGTTAATTTGCCAGTTGGTTGTTGTATTAAGTCATTAGACTAATTTGAAGTTACAATTTGCGTGCTTCTTCTTTTCCATGTTGTTAAAAGTTTCACATGCAGAAAATTTGAATATATTTGTTGAATTTTGTATAGGGAGGATTGATAGGATTAGCTGCTGCAACAGTTGGGTTGACCAGTGAAGCGGCTCAGCATCTTGAGGTAAGGCATTGGGTACAATTGATCATTTTTTTTAAAGAAAAAATGGTATGGACCTTCGATATATGTGGCAGGGATGGTTTAAATTTTGGTAATTACGTGTGTAATTAAGCTTCCGAAGGTAAGTGTATAGCAAGGGCTACAAATAGGATGCTTAGTTTTGCTAATTAAAATTAGCAATTAACATGGGCACAGTGTGCTGAGCTCTCACTCTAGATGACTAAATCACTGATCGTTTACCCACCATAATGTTGTTGTAGTGTGGAAGATGCAATCAAACTAAGATGAGGATATCTAGACTTAGCTTGATGAACCTAAGTGAATTATCAAAGATTCATGTAGAAATATGTGTTAATTGTAAACTTGTAAGCCTCTCGAAAGTTCTTAGTATGCATCCCGTAATTGAGTTGAATGCCAGCTGAATACGGAGTATATACATATCTAAGCCTGAAATGAGTAGTGATAGCATGATGCCAAATTTTGGATCTTTCTCTTTCTGAAAAATATTGAGTTTCATAGCTAATATATGCATTTCTGACTTGATTTAAATGCCAAATTCTTCTTTAATGGTATTGAATATTTCTTTTGCTTCTGATTCACCCTGCCAGCAAATTGTGCCCCCTGTGCTTAATTCCTTTTCGGACCAAGATAGCAGAGTTCGTTATTATGCTTGTGAAGCTCTATATAACATTGCAAAGGTGAGCAGATTAGGTGGCTGAATTTTTAAGTTATTATTCTGTTTTTCTCACCTGACCTATATTTAATTTAATTTAATTTTTACTGGTTGGCAGGTTGTAAGAGGAGATTTTATCATATTCTTTAATGATATATTTGATGCCTTGTGCAAGCTTTCAGCAGACTCAGATGCTAATGTACAAAGTGCTGCTCATCTTTTAGATCGGCTTGTAAAGGTGTATAACCATCAAAACATTAGCGTGTGTCTATCCCTCATACATCAGATTTTCTCAATTGTTTGTCTTCCAAATAGGCATTTAATTCTGTTATATTAACTTCAATTTTTTAATTTGGAAGCAGGATATTGTTACTGAAAGTGATCAATTCAGGTGTGTAATATTCTTGATCTGGATTTGTCTCTCAAAACATTTGTACAACACTTACAATGTACCTTTTTTTTTTTTGTTCTTTCCCTACCACAGCATTGAAGAATTTATTCCACTGTTGAGGGAGCGTATGAATGTCCTGAATCCCTATGTCCGTCAGTTTTTGGTTGGATGGATCACTGTCTTAGACAGTGTTCCAGATATTGACATGCTGGGATTTCTTCCTGATTTTCTTGATGGTAATTGTTTATACTATGAAAGATTGACATGCTTCACGTATTTCTCATCATTTCTGATAATTGCATATGAACTCATAGTTTGCTAATAAATCTCAGGCTTGTTCAATATGTTAAGTGATTCAAGCCATGAGATTAGACAACAAGCTGATTCAGCACTTTCAGAGTTTCTCCAGGAGATCAAGAACTCCCCAGTAAGGCTTCTAACTGTTGATGAATTAATCCTGCAATGATGTTTGTATTATGTGTTTCCCTAGTTACTTTTGGAGAACCTGTGCCAGTCTCTTCCATACGGCCAGTTTTCTCCCTGTTTCTGAGCTGATAAAGTATATATCTTGTTCATTTTAATTTTCTGACTCGAACAGTGCTACTCTTGAAGTCTGTAGATTATGGTCGCATGGCTGAAATACTGGTACAGAGAGCTGATTCACCGGATGAATTTACTCGGTTAACAGCTATCACATGGGTAAGTAAGAGTAAACTAGAGTAGTGTTTACTCATTGGTATCATTATCCACTGGTATTCTTATTAGTTTGTTTGACCTGTATTATATTGAATAGTCTTACACATGTGATTCTCTGCTGTGCAGATAAATGAATTTGTAAAACTTGGTGGGGACCAGCTTGTTCCCTATTATGCTGATATTCTGGGAGCAATTCTACCCTGCATATCTGATAAAGAAGAGAAAATTAGAGTGGTAGGTTGACTGTCCTCTTCCTATATATATCAGGTTTCACTGCCTCCATGGGTTTCTTCCACTGAACTCCCTTTTCCTCTCTCAACTAAAGGTTGCTCGTGAAACCAATGAGGAGCTTCGTGCCATTAAGGCTGATCCAGCTGAAGGATTTGACGTTGGAGCAATCCTCTCTATTGCAAGGAGGTGTAGTTTTTCTAACCAAAACCCTATCAGAATTTACCCTTTTTATATTATGGGTGTACATAGAGATTCTGTTTGTTGTGGAGCTACTGTCCATTCTGAAGTTGCGTTTTCTATTGTTATGATAAAACATTTATTATGCTTTAGTTTTTTTGTTTTGATATGAGAATATTTTGCGATCAGGCAATTATCTAGTGAATGGGAGGCTACTAGAATCGAAGCACTGCACTGGATTTCAAACCTTTTAAACAGATATCGCGCTGAGGTAATTAGGCACTTCTCGAGTTCTGTGTACTTCAAGTTGATTGTTTCTTACCTGTCTTCCCATAATGTTTAATCAGGGGAGGAGGTACCACAACTGGGTTAATAGTGTTAGGCAATTTCTCTAAATTCTGATTTTAGTTAGTGTGGGCAATGTTTATTTGTCATATCATGGGTTACTGTTTGTCTGGGCCTGTATTTTTTTGTTACAAAGATTTGATTTTAAAATTTACTTTGAACAGGTTCTAACTTTTCTGAACGAAATATTTGACACCCTTTTGGGAGCACTCTCAGATGCATCTGATCAGGTAATCCTTTTATTCTCATGAATATTTTTCTCTTTTTGTTTCAAGTTGTATTTTATAATCTTTCTTTAGTTGTCATTTTCATTTATGGTGTTATTGTCGACTCCCACTGTTTATGTGGTATCTGTATTTTCACACTTATTGTGTTCCACATATAAGTCGTATGGATCTGTTGTTAACTATTAATTAAGGGGTCATTTGATAACATTTCATTTTTCAGTTTTCAATTTTTTGAAAACTGAAATCTTGTTAGGTAACTGCTTTCAGTTTTCAAAAAACTGAAAACTAGTTTCTCTAGTTTTCAAAATTTGGCCTTGAGTTTTCACCTTTTGGAAAACTGAAAGTAGTTACCAAACAAGATTTCAGTTTTCAGAAAACTGAAAACAAAAACTGAAAACGAAATGGTTATCAAATGGCCCCTAAGGTTGTCATGCACTAATGTTGCTACTTTCGTCTATTATAACTCTCTGTGATTTGCCAGGATCATCTGCTGACTTATGTATATTATACTTTTCGTTCTTAGTTACGTACTTTTCCAGAGGCATTTTTAACTTTGTAATAAGACGTTATCGAGTTATCATGTGATCTTTTATTTAGTATGCCAGAATGCAGCTTATTTATTGCTTTATGGTGTCCAGAAACATGCATAATGAAAAAGCTAACTGACCCTACATGTTGAACGGCATTTATGAGTGTATATAATGTTGCAAGTCTGGATTATGTCCAGGTGGTTCTCTTGGTCCTAGAAGTTCATGCATGCATAGCAAAAGATCCACAGCACTTTCGCCAGCTTGTTGTGTTCCTTGTGCATAATTTTCGTGTGGACAACTCTCTTCTAGAGAAGTGAGTCTCTCCCTCTCACTCTCCCCTCCCTCCTTGTGCTTTAGCTAATTTTAAATCTGTGATAATATGTTTCTTGTTTTAACTATGGTCTTTATGTTTTTTTTTTCCCCAAGACGTGGTGCGTTGATTATTCGCCGACTTTGTGTGCTTTTAGATGCTGAAAGGGTCTACCGAGAACTGTCTACCATACTAGAAGGAGAGTCAGACCTGGATTTTGCATCTATTATGGTTCAGGTTGTTATTTATCACACTACATAAAATAATGCGTGCATGAGTGACACAAATGAAGCAACAGTCGCATGGGGCATGATAAATGAGCTCTACATTCTAGTGCCCAGAATTAAAACGTTTTATCAGGACTGAGGCGTTTAAAAAGGGTGCTGTTATTGGCACTCCAAAAACCTCTTGCACTCCAAACTTCTATGTTTAGAACGAAAAATACACTTGATGGAGTGCACGACGAGTTTTTTGGAGTGCCAATAACATCACCCTTTCAAAATACCAATTTAATTGTATGCTTGTGTTCTTTATTCAAGAGTTCTTCTGTGTTCTGTGTAGCCTAATCTTTTTTATCCCTTTGTTCCTTTTCCTTGTTCAGGCTTTGAACTTGATTTTACTTACATCCTCCGAGTTGGCTGAGCTTCGAGATCTTTTGAAAAGGTCACTTGTGAATCCTTCTGGGAAAGACTTATTTGTTTCCTTATATGCTTCATGGTGCCATTCACCCATGGCAATTATAAGCCTCTGCTTATTAGCTCAGGTGAGGTTCTAGAGCTTTGTCACCCATGGTCGCCCTTTCACTTAAAAATCTGTGTTTGCGTGTGAGCATTTGTTTTCTTTTCTTGAACATGTTGTGTATGTTTTTTCATGACAGACATATCAGCATGCAAGTACTGTGATTCAGTCTCTGGTTGAAGAAGATATTAATGTCAAGTTTTTGGTCCAGCTGGATAAATTGATTCGGTTACTAGAAACTCCAATCTTTGCGTATCTTAGATTACAGGTGCTGTATTGAAATGTATTTCTCCTTTTAGTATTGGAGTCCTACTATAGCATCCTTATCATGTTTTCCCCTAAACTGTCATTTTGTGTTTTCTGCCTTGCTTTCTCAAACTGGCAAATTAGTTTGAGTGCCTGAGATCGTATTTTGATTCTTGCAGCTTCTTGAACCTGGAAGACATATATGGTTGTTAAAAGCCTTATATGGTCTTCTGATGTTGCTTCCTCAGGTATAAACTAAATGCTCTTTTTATACTATTTGAGGATGAATTTTGCTGTGAGATTGCGTGCATAAATCATTGAGATCAAAATCTATCTGAGTTTTTGGAAACTCCTTCAATATGTTCTTTGCAAGAGTTTTTGTTTTTGTGATTGGTAATTTTGTGTGTTTAAGTTTCGTTTCATGCTTGATTGCAGCAAAGTGCCGCCTTTAAAATTCTGAGGACGCGTTTAAAAACTGTACCTTCATACTCATTCGACAGTGAGCAACTCAGAAGAACTTCTTCAGGGAATCCCCATCAGATTCTACATCACATGCCAAGTGCCAGTAGTTCGCAGATCATTGAAGACGGTGACATAAACCAGGCCAGTAAGAGTTCTCATAATGGAATTAACTTTACTTTAAGACTACGGCAGTTTGAGCAAATGCAGCAGCAACATCGTCAAAATGCAAAGCTGCAGGCACAAACACAAAGAACTTCCACAGCTTCTTCAACACCGAAGGTTTGTTGAGTTTCTTCCATCTGGGGAATATTTATGTTGAGATAAGTAGCGTTTCGACGAGTGTTGTTGGCAAATGTTTATTTTGGGGCAGTATTGGCAGGCAGGATTCGTCATGTGCCTGTTGCAAACATCTTTGACAGTCCACTGTCACTGTTCGTTTTAGATTATTACTCGTTATCGTCATATACGGTTTAGTTGGAATTACATTGCTGCCTTGTTGTATATGCAGGATGTGCAGAGACCAGAAGAACAAAGCCATAGCCGATCTGCATCAGACGTGATTAGGGCGCCTTCCAGATCTCGGAGGGCCCCGGGGCAGTTACAATTATAACGTTGCTGCATCAGGACACTGGCCGAGGCTAATATGTTCTCATCTCAGGGAGGAGGAAGCATCGGAGTCGTGGATGACGGGATCCGGTATAGTTTGTAAAGTTGTATATCGTAGTAGTTTGTTGTTAAAAGCTCGTGGCGGCCGGGATGGTAAAAATTTGGTTTTAAATTGAGTCGAGCTCAGCTGTAAGCTCGAGCTATTCTTTCGGACTTGTGCAAGCGAGCGGGGAAGTGCCCTACGTGGTTGTGTTATTTTTTTATCGAAAACCACGCGGGGGTAGGAGGAGGGAGATACTCTGATTTAGAAGACGCAGTCTGTTTTATTAATACTGCCTGTTACAGCAATCTTATAAAAACTAAGTCCTTCATCTTCATGTACACCTTCGATCCTGAAAAATGGAAAAAAGAAAAGGAAAGTTTAATGTGTAGTATTTCAACTTGTTTTTTCCCCAAACTCTCGCGTATTCTTTCATATTTATGTGCTGCTAATTAAAAAGAAAAAATATAAAAATAATAATTAAAAAAAAAAACTTGTGGCAAGAATTTTACATTCGCTTTATGAAAAATCTCTTAAGCTGTTTGAAATTGAAATAGGTCTTACCATTTATTGAGTTTTATAAGTAATTAGTATTCGGTTCTTAACCAATCGAAAATAATTAAAAAGTAATTTGGTCACAACAAAGTTTCGCCAGTTATTAGATTCGTTTGAAAGTGTTTTGTAAGTGCTTTTGGTGAAATTCATTTAAAGAAACACTTAAATGCTTTTCTAGAATTCTTTGAATTTTTACTAATGATTGGTTTCAAAAATATTTTCACAAAAAGCGTTTCAGTCGTTTGAAAAACACTTCAATATGAGCTCATAATGTCTTCAAAATGTGCAAGATGAGTTTTAACAAATTTGTGATGGAAAAAAAAAAGGAAAACTAACGAAAACCCTCAAAAACTTTAGCTTTAATCAAAATGACAAAATAAAGATGTAAGTGAATAGCACCAGGAGTGACTTTTCAAGGTAAAAATGTCTTTAACGTTAAAAGTGAACAGTACCAAAAATATTTCATTAAGATACCAAAAAAATAAACCCATGAAAGAAGCTTTTATAGGCTATGGATTTTATAGATTTTTGCAAAATTGTTAAAAATCATGAGTTATGGCTCACAAATTGTTCTTGGAAAATTCGAAATTTAAACTTCTCACAAGAGCTTTTGCAAGCACATTATGAAGTTTTTACAAGCCATTGAGACGGTCGGGTGCATACAACAATTTCTCCTGAACAGACCAAAACGAAATTAAAAAAATAAATAAAAATACCATTAAGACAATAACAGAAATAATAAAAGAAGGGAGAAATATCCAAACAATACAAGGGAAAGGGAGAAATATCCAGAAATTCAGAGCCCTCTGATGCACCGTGAACCAGAAGTAGTGCACCCTGAATCGAATCGAATCCTCGTTCGATGACCATGTTTTCGAGTTCTCATTTCACGGGGGCAATCGTTTCATCATAACAAGAAATAACGTCCCATCTAATATTAGCATCCTTCCTACATAGCCATTCAGGCACAACGATTGAACTTTCCCGGAAGCTTTGATTCTTCATATCGTAAAAATGAAGAAATGCTTGGGATAGTGCTCCGGATTCGATCAAGATCTCACCGGTGTGGATTGCACATAAGCAACTGTAAGGGTATGTTGTAAACGAATGCAAAGAATATGTAACGGCGAAAACCTCCTTAACCCATACTTGATCTTGATAGTCCTTCAAAATCCACAACTCTAACCCTGCTAAATATGAAGTTGAAGTCGTCTCCTTGTCATATGTGAGCGCTAGACATCCGCCCACATCAACAATTGCCCAAAAATGATGGCTGTTACCATCAAATTCTGGAGGAAATGGGATGACTCTGAATCTTTGCTCTCCAAGGTCATATACCACTACACATTTCTCTTCGTCATGTGTCCAATGTATGGCTCCATGGAGGCACACACTTTTCATGTCAATGCGCCAAAAAGTATGATCAAATGGGAGATCATCGTGCTCCACCTCTACGCGCCTCCACGGCTCTGCACTACCCAGTGTGAAAACCTGGAGGTTAATACTTGCATCAACCCTGTAAAAATTCGCAGGCTCTTGGTGTAAAAACCTGCATAGCTCGAGTTGAACAACCATATACTCGTCTGTAGTGGGACTAAATCCAAAGCCATATCCAATCTCGGCTCCCCAGGGTTTGACGTCCGGTGAAGTAGATTGGTAGCTGGTGGGTGAATTGGAAGTGGAGGGAAGGGTTATGGACTCTCGGGTGCAGGGATTAAATACGCGAATGCGGTGCTCATGAATAAAGATAAAACAAGCCAAGCCGTTGGTACACAGTACATTGGGGAGACTGTACTCTTGGGGCTCTAGTGTTAGAAGGTGGGTGGCGCCGGCGGGTGAGGGACTGCCATCTTGGTTGATATGGAGGGACATAATGTGTTGCTGCTTCGTGTCAATGTTCCTGAGATCGAGGAGGAGGAGACTGGTGTTTCGATTGGAATGCAGGTTTCGGTAGGCGCTGAGAAAGGAAGGGTTTCGGGTGATGAGAGCGAACCACGCCTTGGAAACACATTTGAACCGCATCAGAGACTTGGCTGGTAGCTTTGGAAGTATCTGAAACCATATGATTTCATTTGGGAGCTCCGTAAATAGTGATGGAATTTTCGGAACATCATCGCCTTCGTCTTCAGCTACTTCCATGTTCAATTTTCGGGCGGAGATTCCGAACCCCGACCAAATTTCCGACTCTGAGAATATATATAAACTAAAACTAGTTCGTCAAACGTCAGTTTTAGAAATATTGAACAAATGCAAAAATGTAAACGAAAGGATTGTCGAACGAACAGATTAAAGTTATTACTTTATGGAGTTTTCAATGAGATCGAATTTAGTGACTGACATATGAACAAGAAAAGATCGAAACAGAGAAACAGAGAGATCGAACAATTACCAAATCCCTTCTCTCTGGTTTTCTGCCCGCCGTGAGGATAGCCGTCTGCCGCGGCGAGAATCGCTTCTGCGCTAGCAACAATCCCAGGAGAGCTTTTTGCTGTACAACGAAATATATATAGACATGTATTCTTTTTCTCAAGGGATGCGTGGCCGGCCCGCTAAGTTAAGGTCATCTTCAACCGACCGTCAGGGGTTGTAAGGTTAAAAATAGTTTGGAATGATACGAAAATTGTCTCCAATCGAGTGGTAGACGAAAAGGCTTCTGGACTCCATCAGGTTCAAACCCCCAAATCAAGTCAGCGGGCTAGCCATTTCCATCCAGCCCTCCAGCACCATAATGTCAAGCTTGACATTTTGCCAGCCCTTCAGAGCTCCAGAATGTCAAGTTTGACATTTTGTGAACCCTTCAGCTTGCCAGAATGTCAAGCTTGACATTTTACCAGCCAACTTAGCCCATTTAAATGCTAACGACTACCTGGCTTCAGCATGATGTTAGCTAGCAACGACTAGCTAGCGTCATGCTGCCGTCAAGTTACCATTGGAATTTAAATTTTTTTTTTTGGATGAATTTAAAAAAAAAAATCTAAGTTTTTTTCCTATAAATACCTATATCATTCCTACAATATTAAAAGCTGAAGATAAATAGTGTCACATAGATAAGAATCATATCTAAAATTTGCTCAACCAATTACATCTCAACATGTGGCACTCAAAATCCAATCCGAAAAATTATTAAGATTACATAAAGATAAGAAATATGGAGAGTTACTCACTTTAGCAACACGTGTCAATCGAAATCTTATCTGAAAAATTATTGAGATTACGTAAAGTTAAGAAATCTGGAGAGTTATTCACGTTAACGACACGTGTTACTTGAAATCTTATCCAAAAAATTATTGAGATTATATAAAGATAAGAAATCCGGAGGCTTATTCATTTGGCGACAAGTGACACTCAAAATATGTCTGAAAACCTTATTTTAATATGGTAGTTTAATTTAATTAAAATAATAAATTATGTTTAGCCTATGACCCTTTGGCCCCTTCGGTTGGAGATGGTTTTTTGTCAAAAGGCTATGTTTGGCCCCTTCAGTTGGAGATGGTATAAAATATGATCTAACATTGTTCATTAAAATATAATTTCTTGCAGGTACATAGGGCTAAAGGGAGCCCTTTCGCCCTCCTTTGGTTGGAGATGGCCTAAATTGATGGAGGCATCGGCCGGTTGGATTTTCATACCAAACTGAGTAGACTAATATTTTAAATTAAATTTGTAAATCAGGTGATGCGTTATCAACATAAAATAAGCACGTTAGTCAATATTTAAATAAATTTAATTATCAGCAACCACGTCATCTAATTTATAAAAATATGATTTAAATGATTTCTCTAACATTATTTACACTTATTTTTATGATTAAACTTTGAAAGAAATTATCTTTTATTCAATAATTTTTATATATGTTTTCTTTTTTGGCAAGACATATGATATTATTCATAAAGATACTTTCACAACACATCGATAACATTTTGCAACATAAAATCACAAGGCCATATCAAACCGCTACAAATACATAATATTGTCGTGAGCAAAGAAATCACACGGAAAATTGACACGATTAGAGGAAACAAGAAGAAGATGTTCAAAAGCGTGATCAACGATTGCAACAACAGCACAAGTCCAAATCCTATTTCCTTCATATTATGTTTACGCCATCTTCTCTTGCAACTAAACTCAACCGAGCATCATCCTCCTTCAGGCATATCTGTTCAGGCAACACAATTGAACTTCTACCAAGATTATTGATCATCGTATTATAAATATGAACCGTTGCCTGGATTCGCGGCGGAGAAGACTGAATGCAGAGCTTGCCCGTGTGGATCGTATGCCAAGGACTGATATGGTAAACTGACTTCGGCCAGTGAGGGGGAAAGTGGCAGTAGCCTGTGGTTGTAAAGGACCAGGACTTGCAGACGCACTTGAAGTGCATCAGAGACTTGGTCGGTAGCCATGGAAGTATGTGAAACCATATAAAATGGTTTCGTTAGGGAGCTGCGGAAGTCTTGATCGAATGTGATCAGTAGTTACAAGTACAATATACATAATCTTCAATCAACTGTTTATTACCGTTGGCGCGCGCAAAGATTACAGCCGAGCACCTCTTCAAATATGAACATTAACTGCTACTTCGACAGATAAACAAGTAAACAACTCCCCACATGGTGTATCCGTGTTTACAAAGCGTAGATTTTTTCACGGTCGGAGTTATATTCATCATCAAGATCTGAGATATTTGCCGAGTAGAAGGACCGCGAGAAGGACTTGCTTCCACTGGCCCGTTTGATGCGCCTCTGAGAGTCCCGCCGGAAAGCCCCAAAGTGATGTCTGAAAACAAAGTAGCACATGCTTGCAAGAGTTCCAATAAGGATGGGCACTCCCACAACGGTTATGGTAATAGCCATCCATGAACTCCCTTCTCCGACCACCACAAAAGCTATCGACAGAAATGCCCCGCAGGTGCAAGCACAGGCAGCCCACATTAGTTTGTTCACCACTGACACGACTTGCTTCTGAGCCCCAGTTTCCCAGGCCACCAAAGTGATCTGAACCACAACAACTGCTAGCGAGATGAAAAGAGATGTGGCATTCAACAGGTAGAACAATTTGAAACCAACTTCATCGGCTATGTTAGCCTTCCCTGCTTCCGTTCCAGACTTTACATATTGGCCAGGCAAGTTAAAAATGGCCAAGAAAGCTATCGATGCAAACAGAACAGCAACTACTGTGATAGAATTGGTAGTGTTCTGGACAGCTTCCCTATGAAGCTTCTTTAGTTCTTTGGCAATGCCAGAAACTCGCCGCTGAGTTGTTTCATTTTGCATGAGCTGTGAGTGCACCTCATGCTTGATATCGCTCACAGTTCTCTTCAGCTCCATTGCTTCATCCACTTGGCCAACATGTTTTGCATATTTGGCACCAGCTTCCGCTAGTGCTTCTGTAATTTCTAATCTAGATTCTCCGTACGGTAGTTTATCTGCCAAATCCCTTGCAGTTTCGTAATGATTATTTATGGCGTTGACATCAATAGACCTATAGCTCAGCAAAACACTCACTATCTGAAAGAAAGAGGATAAAACATCATCACAGGAGGAGCAACAGAAGTATGAATATACACACAGAAAGACAAACATATGAAATTGGATTCACCACTTTTGAGGATGTAATACCATACTTCCTGGTTCCTCATCAAAGAAGAAAAGACGAACTTTATCAACAAAATTTTCATCGACTCAAAAACAAGGTCCCAATATAAAAATTTTAACTGATATATCCTCACATTACTTATTATCCATCATAATTCTCTTGCATCTCACATCTTCTCCATAATCCCCACACATGTAGATAACCCACACGTCCAAACAAGGCATGGCCATTATCTGTCTTGGGTAGTAGTAAAGACGACTCAAGCAGGGACTCCTCGGCAAGTTGCCACAAGAGGAATCTCCATGTAAAGAACTAGCTCCTAACCCAATTTAGACTTACGGTTACCCAGTAAGTAAAGCAAAGCAACTGATAAATCCAATGGAAGGGATAATAGTTAATGACAAGGTTTTTACGAGCTGATATTTTCATCCTACGTAAAATGTCAAACATAATGATGTGGATTTTATGATTAGATGTTTTTTCATAAATAGAATGTCAGTATGAAGATACCTCTGGACGGCATTTTCTTGTGGCTATATGCACAGCTGTGTTGCCCTTCTTGTCACGTTCATTCAGTATAGAAGTGTCAGCATCCAATATCTCCTCTACAACTGGAGTGCACTGACCTTTTACGGCCATATGAAGTGCAGTTTGACCTTTCTTATCCTTTATGCAGACTATTCCTCGATCTCGTTCTATAAGTGCTTTCCCAATACGGGGCAAGCCATACCTTGCAGCTGTATGTAATGCAGTTTTACCATTTTTCCTTACGATCCTCAGTGAGCTGATGTCGGCATCCAAGATGGCGCTGACTACATCTAAATGGTCCTGAACGGCAGCTGAATAAAGAGGGCTAGTGTTTGACGAGTCACACAGCTTACAAAGCTCAGGCCAGATTCCCAATAGTGCCTTCACAATACCTGAATAAATAACAGTCAATAACATATTTCCAATGTAAAATACGAAATGAAAAAGAAATCCTTTCACCACACTGAAGATTGCATATACACATCTACATATACCACGGAAAAAACACACAACTCGACCTCAAATGGCCAAATGTTGTAAACTTCTCATATGTTAAACCCTCTGCATATCCAGTCAATGTAAAGCAGATTAAGAAAAGGGCTTACAAGCTTAGCAACCGATTCCGAGTTTCGGTTACATGCGAATCAATCCTTTCATATAACCGAAAAGTATTTCGGTCGCATCGCAGAGCAAGAATTCAGCTTGCAGTACAGACAATCCGATTATCTTATTTAATCCATCAAACATTGTCTTTTAGGAAGGAAATTCTCACTAATTACTGAACTTGCACATAAAAGACCAGTAATTATTACGATCGTCCAGCACATACAAGGATCGATTCCAATTAATGAAGTTAAAATCCAAACAAAAAACCAATGAATTCAATCCCCAAACAAAAGCTTTAAGAAGAGTGAAGTCAGTAATCAATTTACCCAAGTGGCCACGCTTAGCTGCGACATGAAAGGCGTTCATATCAAGCTTGGACCTGATCTTGACAACCTCGACACCGCAGAGCTTGAGCAAGTAACCAAACACCTCCTCCAGATTATTGTACGCGGCCATGTACAGCGCAGTCTCACCGGCGTCGTTCTGCATCGCCATCAGATCAGATACCAGCGACCCATTTGAGGAGGGCTCGTCCTTGGCGAGCTTCTCCACCACCCGACTCAGCGCCGCAAGGTCGCCGGATCGGACGGCGGTGAAGAAGGATTGGTGGGTCAGGAAAAGCACGGACTTTGAGTCCATCGTGATTGAAAAGATTCAGTCTTTGGATAAGTCTCTGTTTGGGTTCATCAATGGAGGGTGGAGGAGGAGGAGCCGACCAGGTATTCCTGTAAACGAGTACCAGGTGTGATTGATTAATGATGTTTATTAATATGTCCAGAGATTAATCTGAAGGTGTAGGACTGTAAAGTGGGAGGGCATCATGTGGATTTGTGGAGGGTGGGAGGGGGTTGACTGGGGAGCTTAAGATTCCTTTTTATTTCAAGTCAATTTAGGAAGTGTATTGGTATCACATCATCCTTACTCATCATTAACATATATATTTTTTTCTTTTAAAATATTCAGTCTCCCTCTGATCACAAGTCTGGCTTCTACACCAGCAACGAGTTTCGAATTCAAAACCTTTTGTTTTTAATTTAAAGGAAGTCTCATAATATGCCCTTTACCATTGCACCATCGGCTCGTGGTTATCATTAACATATTTTAATCATGCTTATTTAGATAATTAGTTCTAATTAAAAAATGTGTGACACTCGGCATGATTTGATTGTAGCCTTTCCGCCGGGAATTACGTGCCTCTTATCACGGACTTTTACGCGTTATGCTGAAGCGGGCTGGTGTAGCCTAGGGCACGCCGACACCTAATTTAAGTCTGTTTCAATTGGGTCGTAGATATAGTCCCAATTCAAATTCAGGTTTGTCTCAAACCGGCCCCTAATTATGTTAGGCCCGAATGGCCTACCTACGCGAAAGTGATATGGGTAGGAGGAGGCTGTTGAGTGGGCGACGCGTGGCTAGCGTGGCTAGCGTGGCGTGCAACGAGTCATTGAGTTGGTGTGCACTGGTAATTACTGTGTTAAATTCACGCGCTAATCCTTCTCTCTCTCTCTTCCAAAATTAGCAACAAATCATCAGAGTAAAACTGAACAGAAAACAAAGATAGAGATTCAGGTGGATTCCGTTTTGTTTGCCGCATTCAGTTATTATTTTTCATCCAATTCCCCCTCCCTAACCAAACTCTCTCTCTCTCTCTCTCTCTCTCTCTCTCTCTCCTCTTTCTCTCTCCTCACACATTTTCCTCGCTCCAATTTCATATATAATCCCCAAAACCAAAACCAAAAACAAATCCCAAATTCCCCCAATTTTCAAATTCAGAAACCCACAATCTGAATCTCGAATTTTGGTTCTTCCAATTGGTTTCGGTTTCCGGTTGCTTTCTGATCCAGATGGGTTTCAAATCCCTCTTCTCCCGGAAGAAGAAATCCAGTCCCTCCTCCGCCGCCGCCGCCGACGCACCCCACCCCGCCTTCGCCCCCACGCACTCGCGATCCCCCTCCTTCCACTCGCGCGCCCAGATCGCCGAGCTCGACCAGGTCTTCAAGAAATTTGACGTCAATGGCGACGGCAAGATCTCGTCGTCCGAGCTCGGAGCAATCATGAGCAGCCTGGGGCAGCCGGCCTCCGACGAGGAGCTCAACGGCATGATCTCCGAGGTCGATTCCGACGGCGACGGCTTCATCAACTTCAAAGAGTTCGTTGAGCTCAACACCAAAGGGATCGACCCGGACGAGGCGCTCGAGAATCTCAAGGACGCCTTCTCCGTCTACGACATTGACGGGAACGGCTCGATTTCGGTGGAGGAATTGTACAAAGTTCTCCGGAGCTTGGGGGACGAATGTTCGATGGACGAGTGCCGGAAGATGATCGGTGGCGTCGACAGTGACGGCGACGGTATGATCAATTTCGAGGAGTTTAAGGTCATGATGATGACGGGATCGCGTTACACTGATCCGGTTTCAGGTTGATCATCAACGTCAAATTCATTGATGAAACTCCACTTTTTTGGATTGGTTCATCTCATCTGTGATTTAATTGTTTTGTTTTTCTATCAGTTAATTAACGGGAACGGTGATTCGAACTTGAGAATATAATGCTTATGGTTTATGTGGTTGCGCCCAATTTGTGTTTTTTCAAGTTACCTAATTGAGGATGCTCAATGAATTTTTCACATCGGGTTAAAAATTTTGAGTTTGATTTAAGGATGTTTTGTCGAAATACTCTCAGTACTATTTATTTTAACGAAAAATGATATTTTTATTATAAAAAGTCATTTCTGATACTATTTATTTACAATACATTTTTGTCATTTGATTAAAATTTAAAGTTTCAAATCATTTTCATTCATTTTTATTTTATATAAAGTTTGGTAGTGAGTCGGAAACTTATTTAAAGTTTTGTAGTGAGTCGGAAACTTTTTATTTTATTTAAAGTTTTGTAGTGAGTCGGAAACTTGACACCAATAATGGTGATTGTATCATTGAGATTAATGTATGTTTTATAAGTTTGATTCTCATAAACGAAAAAGAGAACTAGATAAAGTAAATGAGAGCTACCAATAGTTGGATAGTCTTTGTCACACTTTATAATTTAATAAAGCGAAGAAAATAGCGTGCAAAAATATCGTTTGTTAGAATTACTAAAATGTTGAGTAAATCTTACATCTTTAAGTTGAAGAGTTAACTAGTATTTTTTTAGAAAAGTGAACTACCTGGTGGTTTTGTCACGGTAGTTCATCCTGTCGAGGGCCTAGAAGACTCACATAAGCATTTCAACCTCTCTTTGACCACCATCGTGTGATTCACAAGTGCTAAGAATCATACTTAGGACGTGCCGTGTGAAATATAGACCTGAAATTTGTCTCTAACTATTAGACAATCCCGTAGTGATTAAGAGTTAATTAGTATTTGAGTAAAAGAATATATCCTTGAAATGTGGTCATGTGTTTGATAGATAACGTTTTCAATGTAACTGAATGGATTTGAAGATAATAAAACCTGTGAGTCCTACAATTTAAGCAAAAGAATATGTGATAAACTTCGGCATGGAATACCGAACTTTTCAATGTCGGTGCTGAACTTGATTTCCTTCGGTAGACATCCACCGAACATCCGGCACTCGCAGCTCTAGTTTGAGTTCAAATGAAATCTCGAAATTGTCCCCGTCAAAACTCGGCAACCATGACCTTCCCTTATTTTTGGTTGGGCTAATGTGGGAACTTCACCATAACTTTTCATGGAAATTAGTCCATGACCAAAACATCGAAAACTCTCTCAAAAGTATCCTTAGCAGCACTTGGAAGGAGGACTGGAGTGTGGCACGACCATGGCAGCTTCCAAGATGTTATTGGCTTCCTTCACCGCCTTCCGCCCTCTAACTTGCGCTGCCTCCGCCTCTTATCCTGCGCGCTTGGCCCCACACCCGCCGGACCTGATCAAGTGGGTCCGTCGGGAAGGAGGATTTGTGCACGAGGGCGTGAAGATAGCTCAAGACAGTTCCTTTGGTCTTGGATTGGTGGCTTCTGAGGAAATCCCAAAGGGTTCCGAACTAATTGTCCTTCCGGAGCACGTACCTTTGAGATTTGGCTTAACTGAATCGGAAGGCGGGGATGGGGTCGACTCTGTTCTCGACAATTTGGCTCGCCAAGTTCCTGGTAGGTGTTTTTGGCTATCCGACTTTATTGGTTTTGTGATCATGATTTGGTGTATTGTATGCTGTTTAGTTAATGGGTATTTCGCATTTGGCTATTTTTTTTATTCATTTGGTTCAAAAGAACGGCAAAGGTTTGAACTTTGATGTTCATATATACTAAATTCGATTGGAGTTGAAGTATCATGTCCATGGGATTTTGAATGCTTAGTGACATGCTGTGTTTATTTTTAGATTTTAAATCGCAATGCGGGTTAGATCAGTTGGTCGCGGCAAGTGTGCTACATCCCCTGCACCCAACTTTGAATCTCTATCCCCGTAGTTTAGAATATCGCCTTCTCAAAAGAAAAAAGATAAGATGTTTTCAATTAGCAGTAGCTTGCCTCATCAAAATGTGTCCTCAGTTGTAGACGAGCTTCATTAGCAGGTACATTTGTCGTGTATGAAATATTTTACATCAGATGTTTGCTAACATAAAAACCTACTACATTTCTATAGGATTTAGGTTTTATTTTCTCTGCCTAGGTTGGTAACTTAAAGTTTTGTACATTAGGCTGTAGTGAGTTTTGAATATGAGTAAACCGAACACTGGAAGCATTTGGCAGAGGAACTATGGGCAATGAAATTGGGTTTGAAGCTTCTGCAAGAAAGAGCAAAAACTGGATCCTTCTGGTGGCCATACATCAGCAGCCTCCCTGAAACGTTCAATATACCCATCTTCTTCCCTGGCGAGGACATAAAGAATTTGCAGTATGCTCCACTTCTTTACCAGGTACCTTATCACAACTTCTACTACTGAGTTAGTCTTGCATACGAAACCATTTAAGAGCTGGGAACCATCTCTCTCTAGTTTGGGTTGTGTTTAAAATCTAGCATAGATATTCTGATATCTCAGATAAAATGTGGGTTGTAGTTATGGTTGGATATTGCCTCGGAGAGGGTTGGCTGAATCCAAACTTGGGACATTTTTGTAAATTGCATTCAATAATTGGGATAGCATAGACGCTCTTGTGCAGGACAGAGAAATAGCATAGATACTCTTGTCCTCTGATATGGGCAACAAATGCCCATGTTGGGCATATGCATGAATTTTGGATACATAAACGTTCAACACCATGATTTCAAGGGGCCTTGTAATATAGCTTGTGTTTAGATTCTTATCTTGACCTTGACAATCACTTGATTCCCACATCAAGATTTGAAGGTTTAGTGATTTCCTGTTGCAGGTAAACAAGAGATGCAGATTTCTTCTTGATTTTGAACAAGAAGTCAAGCGTGCTCTGGAAAATCTGAAACCAAATGATCACCCTTTTGGTGGCCAAGCTGTAGATGCATCTTCTCTTGGATGGGCAATGTCAGCTGTTTCGTCTCGGGCATTCCGTTTATATGGTAGAAAACTTCCAGGCGGGAACTACAATGATATTCCGATGATGCTTCCTCTCATCGATATGTGCAACCACAGTTTCAACCCAAATGCTGCAATAGTTCAGGACCAAGATGACAGGAATATGAAGATGCTAGTAAAGGTTTTATTTTCCTTTTTGTTTCTTTAATTTCATTCAGAAAATCTCCAATAGATATCATAGTTGAAAACTTAAAATCGCATTTTCATTTACTTGTCAAGATTCTCTCTCAATCCAGGTTGTAGCAGAAACAGAGATCAAGGAGAACGATGGTTTAGTACTCAACTATGGATGTTTAAATAATGATCTTTTCCTTCTGGATTATGGATTTGTGATACCTTCAAACCCCTATGATTGTATTGAACTCAAATATGATGGAGCACTTCTGGATGCTGCAAGTATGGCTGCCGGAGTATCATCGCCCAACTTCTCTGCACCATCTCCATGGCAGAAAGAAATCTTATGCCAGCTAAAGTTAGATGGAGAAGCTCTGCTTCTTAAGGTTTCTGTTTCCCTGAAACATATATAATTACTATCGGATTGATCATGGTCGTTGTGCTAAAATTATGAAAGACTTTTTTAGACTTTCTCGTATATAAACTGTAATATTTAATCTTGTTCTTCTCTTGTCTTGCTTAATAGGTATGCTTAGGGGGCTCAGAACTGGTTGAGGAGCGCTTGTTGGCAGCCTTAAGAGTTGTTCTGGCTGATGACAAAGAAACAGTTCAGAAGCACGATTTAAACAAACTTAAATCTATATCAGCTGAAGCTCCCCTTGGTATTGCAAATGAATTAGCTGCTTTTCGCACCGTTATTGCATTATGTGTGATTGCACTGGGACATTTCCCAACCAAAATCATGGAAGACGAATCCCTGTTGAGTAAAGGTGTTTCAGATTCTACTCAGCTGGCTATCCAATTCAGAATTCATAAAAAATCGGTGATTATAGACGTGATGAGAGATCTCACAAAGAGGGTGAAGTTTCTTGCATCAAAAGAAACCGTCGCCACTAAAGGCTGAATTGCTGCAGTAAAGGTGGCTGTTTGCGCACAATACTCTCTTGTCATGTTTGTTGCCTCTTTCGTTTTAGCTACTTTGTTTTGCACTATCTTTCTTCTGCTCTTTAGTAATTTGAGCATTATCATCTGTAGAATGCTTGAAAATATTGTATTTTTTGGTTTTAATCACAGATTCTTTTGTTCTTCTCGAATCGTTCTGCTTACTGGATGAATCAACGCAACTCCATTTCGCTGTTTTTTCGGTTTTCTTAGGAAGGTCGAACTGGACGTGACGGGCGGTTTTCTTACAGGCCATGAGTTTTACCGGTTGAATCATGCTTGAACATGTCAGCAAGTTGAAAACGACTCTTTCTAATCATCGATGATATGATGAGATATTTGACACATCGATGAAGAATGTTCTCCGATGATATGATGAGAACAAAGACAATTTGATGTCTGATCATCCTCCTAAACCGCAAAATTTTCAGACAAAAATAAATTTTCTAATCATAAAATTAAAGTGCGAAACGACAAGACCAGACAGTAGAAAATTAAGATTAATTTCACTATTCCTTAAATTCCCGACAAAACAGAAAACTGTACAACTAACATGGTAGAACCCCAAAAGACCAGAACTGTCGTAGTTGGCGCGGTGAAGAAACAGAAAAGCAAGAAAAACAGTAAGGAAAAAAACCAGAAAAAAGTTAACTCTAAAGCGTCGCCACCATAACCATGCAGATGCAGGCAGGGCAACCCCTACGAGGCTTATCCCTATGCAGCCAACCCGAGCCGCGAACGCGAGCGCTGGCGCGTACTCTCGCGAAGAAGCACCCTTCTCAGCCTCGTCTCTGCAGGCTGCTGCAGAGACGGGTGCTTGATCCTCTCAAACTCTTGCTTGATCTTCATCACTTGGCTGTGAATTGGGACAGCCATGTAGCTGTATGTCCCCTCTTCGTCCATGCTCCCGTTGTCGTCGTTGTTTTCGCCCGTCGCCTTGGTGGTGATGTTCTTGTTCTCCATAAAAAGACTCAGCACAAGAAATTAACGCTCTTTTTGTTTTCTTAGGGCGTTAAGAAATCACACCTTCGGCCTTGCGCATCTGTTTTTACTTTTTGTTTATTGGAGAGTCATGAACGTTTTGAAAGCTATAAATATTGGGAAGAAAGAAACGAAAGGGGACACTATTTGTTCATGAATAGTGAGAGAGAAAGGAAGGTGAGATATTTCGAAAAGGGAAGAGTAACTTTCTCTATATGAAATCAATTTGAGATGACACTTATCAGATGTGTTTATACAAGATTGTCGTTGAATTAGAAAGAAAAAAAAATATAAACACAATGAGAACGCAAAAAGCACCATCTTTTCTACTCAACTTGCCATTTTTAACTTGGGGTCGGAATTATTATTTTTGTCATGTTGGTTGGAGGCACTTGACCATTTTTATCATTTTTGTGCATTCATTTGTTTAATTATTTATCATCTCATTGGCTGAGACGGTCAATGCCACTTTGGTTTCTTTGTCCCTATTGGATTGTAGGTATCCTCATTACTCTACTAATTTGATTAGTAGCTTAATCCATACATTATTTGGGTCACGATGTGGTCAAAGAACAAGGGCAAAGTCCTAGTGAGAGAGAGAGAGAGAGAGAGGTAGAGAGAGAAAATTGGGCGGCTGGCCAAACAAAGCCACCGGTCTTCCACGCTTTCCTTCCTTTTACTTGATAATTAAGTATAATCATGCACCAAATCAAGGTATTTAATCCAGGTAACTTGACTTTCATGCCTTTCTCAGATATTCTAGGCAATATTTGAGTCTCACCAATCAGGATCCTAAATTTTTATTCAAGGACGTCAATAATAATGAAACATATATTTTTATGATTATTAAAAATTAAGGATCGTGAATCAGTTTGTAGTCTTTAAAAAGATGATAACAAGTGGTACATGTATTGAATAAGAATATAGGGCTCGCTTACCTATTAGTAACGGAGAAATAAGGAATATGATAACTTCGAAATAGAAGAAAATAAATAAAAAAAGGAATGAAACAACCTATTTTGTTTGTTTTCATTCTCATTACTGATAAATAAACGAGCCCTATATAATGTCTTAACTGGTCAGAACCCAAGTATTATTCAAGAATCTAGAGAATGAAGATGATTCTTGTGGAACTCGAAGAAAATGACTGTGGAAAGCTTAATAGGAAAGATATAACCCTACTTTTCAAATACGAGTGATTGAAAAGAGATTGGCTTTGTGAGTGCGTGTAAATGCTTGCATTGTTCCTACTTGCAACGCAGTTCTTCTAGACTTCTTTCTACCCTTTTTGTGTCTCAAGGGTTTAAGCAACCTACTTTATACAATTTTTCAACCTTTTCTTTTCCTTCTATTTTCTTCCTTTTTAGTTGAGAATATGGTAAAACAGTTTAATTTGGAGACGGACTACAATTCTTATATATATTGATGTGACTTTATGAATATTAGATTTAAAAAAAAATATACTTGTTAGTGGAAGGTTCCGTATGAATAGATGGTTCCGTTCATGATTATGAATTTTCACTCCATTATCATTATATTAAAAAAAATTAATTCTGCACCTAAATTTAAAGTCGAATTATACTAATAGGATATGTAGTTTATTTGGGTTTTCGCTTTTATTCTTATAGCTTTTTGTTGCAGTTTCGTCTTTGTTGTTTCGATTTCGTTAGCATTGTTAGTCCAATTCTTCAAATTAGGCAACATTCCTACCAACTTAAGTTTATCAATTGACAATGTGTACCAAAAAAAAAATGTTGAACAAATATAGAGAAAAAAACTTAAAATTTAGAAAACCTAGAAAACCACAAAATACTATAGAGACAAAAATGAAAAACTAGAAAACCAAAGGGGCAATTAGAGCAAGGCCCATTCCGCATTGAATCCGTAAGCATGATCTCAAGCCCAGTTCAGTGTAACTCTAGAGAGAGCCCAATAGGAACATGCAAGCGAGTGCTGAGAATTTCCGGTTTTAGGATTTAGGCCCAGAAGGAGCAGCTCAAGCCCAAGTGCAACCCTAGACGGATGTCTTGAGCCAGAAGGAAAATGGAAATGATTTTTGCACTCTTTTTTACGACCCTGCACTCTTTTTTTTTGGAGTTTCAACAAAACACTTTCGGTATTGTTCACTTTTAACGAAAAACCACATTTATACATTTCCCTGGTACTATTCATTATACCTTTAAAAATGGCTTTTCATTAAAAGATAAATTTTTTTGGACTTTTGGTTAATTTTTCTTTTTTGTTTTTTTTATATATCCATATGATTGAATCAATAAACAATGGACTAAGGGACCATCAGGAACAGTTGGAAAAGGGCGAATTGCCAAAACAAGTGTGAAAACTGTTCGAGATTTTTGGCTCATGTTGACGTGTTTTTTAAATTACTGAAAGTACTTTTGATGAGAACAAATTTTTAGTATAAATACAAGTGAATTCTAGAAAAGCACTTGAAGTGCTTCTTGCAAGAAGAACATGAGCTCGTTTGGGAAGTGTTTTTAAATAAATGAAAACTTTTTTAGAGAAAATATTTTTGAAACCAATCATTAGTAAAAATGGAAGTTAATCTTGGAAAACTACTTGAATTGCTTCCTGCAAAAAGCACTTCAAGTGCTTTTGGAAAAAAATAATTTAACCAAAAATATTTTCAGTCATTTTAAAAGCAGTTCAAAACAAGCCTATATTACAATGTTCTAGTACATCAAGCACATTGTTTTGTGTTGGCTTAATGTTCGCCTTGTGAACAAAAAAACAAAAATTTGAACTCTCTTCTTGGAAGATTTGGATGGTATGAATTTAGTGATGGAATTAACTATGTATGGAAACAAGTCTTTTTAATTAGTCTTGAGTTTTTTCGTGTCTAGCTTCTAGCAGTTAGAAAAATGTACGCTAATAGTGATTAGTGAGTCTATTTTAGCCGTCACTTAAGTATGAAGTTTGAAACCAAATTGCAACAAACAAATGGTTGAATGAATCGACATTAAATATAAAAATAATAGAAAAAAAAAGTAGTTGAATGAATGGACCATGATTAGTTAATAACTTAATTATACGTGGATCTTGATGCATTTTATAACTAGTTTATGACGGTGCAATAAATGAGAAATTTTTATTGCGCAAAAAATACAGTTTCGTACATTAAATGTAATAATATAATTAATTGAAAATTTAGTGTACACTTGATATATTAGTCATGTTTTCGACACATTGAAAAACCTCTAGCAATCAATAGAAACTTCTTATATTTTGAGCATGGCCATGTGAATTTTCATGTTGAAAAATTAACCTATCAATGGTCTAATTTAAGTTTTTAGCAATGTTAATACATTTGATTGAATATTTTACAAAAATATATATATTTTAGCGAATAATGATTGCCCTTGCTACTCAGTAAGATTCTCAATCTTGCATGTGAGCTGTTGGGGAAAGAAAATTTAAAACTAAATCGATTTGCGAGTCTTTATAATATAATTAAACTCATCTCCGACCGACTTAAGTATGTGAATTAGTTGGTGTTTCAAACACAACATACAATTAACCATCACTAGGTGGTCTTGTAGTTGACAACTAATTTTAGATCCGTATTTCATACGGCACGTTTTGGATTCGATTTCTGACACTGATGCATAATGATGGTTAGAGGAAAATTGATATGATTCTGTGAGTTTTTTAACCTTCGAAATAGTAGAATGTTGTGGCAGAGCCACCATCTGATCTCTTTTTTCTTTAAAACAAAACACGCCATACAATTCTCCCATCCAAACTAGTAATTAACTATCATATATCATATCCACTTGTGGATATGGTCGTTAGGAAACTTCCCATGTGACCTTATCACCTGCGATGCAACATGAGGGGTCAAAGTTATTAGGGTTAGACTTTCGTGGTTTTATATACATTCAATATTGACATGCCCCATTGTTTAATTAAGGGAACGAGGATCCTCTCCGGATCCTCTAGACACCTATGTTCATCATACATCGTGTAGTCATCAATTATTGTAATTTTTTTTTATTTAAAATTGAATATAAATAATACTTAATGAAAACTGGCCGAACAATGTACGATGAATGAATGTGATTGGAGGATCATCGGGATTCTCACAAAGAGGATATGTAGAAGATCCTCATTCTAATTATGGCCCTCACCTAATAAAATTTTGGTATTATCCAAA